CCACCATGCCTGGATAATTTTTTAATTTTTTGTGTAGAAACAATGTCTTCCTATGTTGCCCTTTTCCTAGGCTGGATGTGTGCAGGTTTTTGTGTGGCCATAAGTTTGCAATTCATTTCCCTATATACTAAGGAGTGTGACTTCTGGATCATGTGGTATAATTATGTTTAGTTTTATAAGAAACTGAAGAGAGCCAAACTGTCTTCCAAAGTGGCTGTAGCATTTTTGCATTCCTACCAGCAATGAGAGTTCCTGTTGCTCCACATCTTCCCCAGCATTTAGTATTGTCATTTTGAATTCTAATAGGTGTGTAGTAGTATCTCAGTGTTTTAATTTGCAATTCTCAAATGACATATACATTTGATATTGAACATTGTTTTATATGCTTATTTGCCATCTGTATATCTTCTTTGGTGAGATGTCTGTTGAAATCTTTTGCCTTTTTTTTTTTTTGAGATGGAGATTCACTCTTGTTGCCCATGCTGGAGTGCAATGGCGTGATCTTGGCTCACCGCAACCTCCACTTCCTGGGTTCAAGTAATTCTCCTGCCTCAGCTTTCTGAGCAGCTGGTTTTATAGGCATATGCAAACACACCCGGCTAATTTTGTATTTTTAGTAGAGAAGGGGTTTCTCCATGTTGGTTAGGCTGGTCTTGAACTTGAACGCCAGACCTCAGGTGACCCACCCACCTTGGCCTCCCAAAGTGCTGGGATTACAGGTGTGAGCCACTATGCCTGGCCATCTTTTGCCAATTTTAAAATCAGGTTGTTTGTTTTCTCAGCATTGTGTTTAAGCTTTGTATATTTTTGATAACATCCTTTATCAAGTATATCTTTTGCAAATATTTTTTCTCAGTCTGTGGTTTGTCTTCTCATTCTCTTGATGAACATCTTTTTTTTTTTAAATGTGCATAATGGCCATCCATATATCCTCTTAGGTGAAATATATGTTCACATATTTAGTCTGTTTTCTAGAAACTGCAATTTTGTTACTGTTTTGATAGCTCTTTATATATTCTGAAGTCCTTTATGTCATATGTACTATGCAAATAGTTTCTCTCTGTCTGTTTGTGTTTTTATTCTTTTAACAGTGTCTTTTAAAGAAGCAAAGTTTTAAATTTTGGTAAAATCCAATTTATCAATTTGTTACTTTATGCTTTTGATATTGTATCCACTAATATTTGCTAACCCAGTTAGGCAAAAGGTCACACAGATTTTCTCCTGTTTTCTTTTAGATGTTTTATAGTTTTAGGTTTTGTGATCCATTTTGTGATCTATTTAAGGTTGTGATCCACTTTATTTTCATATATGTTGCAAGGTATGGATCCAAATTAATTTTTTTGGATATGGATGTCAAACTGTTTCAGCACCTTCCCTCCCTCCCTCCCTTCCTCCCTTCTTTTCCTTGCTTCTTTCCTTTACTTCCCTCCCTCCCTCCCTCTCTCTCTCTCTTTTTAATTTTTCTTTTTGAGACTGAGTCTTTCTCTGTCACACATGCTGTAGTGAGTGCAATGGCCCAATCTCGGCTCACTGCAACCTCTGCCTCCTGTGTTCAAGCGATTCTCCTGCCTCGGCCTCCAGAGTAGCTAGGATAACAGGCACCTGCCACCATGCCTGGCTAATTTCTTTGTATTTTTAGTAGAGATGGGGTTTAACCATGTTGGCCAAGCTGCTTTCGAACTCTTGACCTCAAGTGATCTGCCTACCTTGGGCTACCAGTGTTAGGATTACAGGTATGCGTCACTGTGCCCAGCCTGCACCATTTCTTTAAAAGGCTGTCCTTTCTTCACTATATTACCGTGGCACCTTTGTCAAAAATCACTTATCCATATATATGAGAGATTATTTTGTCTATTCTGTTCTACTGATCTATTTATCCATCTTATTCCAGTAACACCCTGTTTTTGATTACTATAGGTTTATAATAATTATTGAAATTAGGTAATGCTGGGCCTTCAATTTAGTTCTTAGTTCTTTTTTTTTTTTTTTTAAGATGATGTCTTGCTCTGCCGCCCAGGCTAGAGTGCAGTGGTGTGCTCTCAGCTCACTGCAACCTGCGTCTCCCTGGTTCAAGCAGTTCTCCTGCTTCAGCCTTCTGAGTAATTGGGATTACAGGCACTCACCACCATGCCCAGCTAATGTTTGTGTTTTTAGTAGAGATGAGGTTTCACCATCTTGGCCAGGCTGGTCTTGAACTCCTGACTGACCTCGTGATCCACTCACCTCAGCCTCCCAAAGTGCTGGGATTACAGGTGTGAGCCACCGTGCCTGGCATTGGTAGTTCTTATTCAAAGTTATTTTTAGCTCCTCTAGGTCCTTTGTATTTCCAGATGAATTTTATAATTAGCTTGCCAATTTCTACAAGATGCCTCCTGGTATTTTTATTGGGATTGCATTGAATATGAGGAGCAAAGAATCTCAACAGTACTAAGTTTTATGATCCATGAACAAGGTATAGTCCCTTATAAAGACTGTATTTTGTCTCAGCAATATCTTACGGTTTTCAATCTAGAGGTCTTTTCCATCCTTTGTCCCAACATATTTCATATTCTTATGCCACTGTAAATGGTTTTTTATATTTTCCAACATTCACTATTGCTAGTGCATAGAAATACGATGGATTTCTGTATATTAAACTTGCATCCCACAGTCTTGCTAAACTCGCCAGTCTAGATTCCTATATGATTTCTTTTTCTTACAGGAACACTCTGGATAGAACTCCTAGTACAATCTTGAACAGAAGTGGTGAGAGGCTAGGCATGGTGGCTCATGCCTGTAATCTTTGGGAGATTACACTTTGGGAGGTCAAGATGGGAGGATTACTTTAGCACAGGAATTTAAGCACAGCCTGGGCAACATAGTGGGGCGCTATATATACAAAAATTAGCCAGGCATAGTGGCGCAGGCCTGTACTCAGGTACTTTGGAGGCTGAGGCAGAAGAATCACTTGAACCTGGGAGGCAGAGGTTGCAGTGAGCCAAGATTGCACCACTGCCCTCCAACCTGGGTGACAGAGTAAGACTCCGTCTCAATAAATAAGTAAATTACAAATAATAATCTTGAGGAAAAACATTCAGTCTTACATCATTAAACATGATGTTAACTATAGGTTTTTCAAGAGTGTCCTTTATCAGTTGAAGAAGTTCCTTTCTATATTTATTTTGTTGAGAGTTTTTACTGAGAATGGATGAATTTTGTCAAACACTTTTTCTGCCTCATAAGGTTTTTCTAACTTGTTAATATGGAAAATTACATTGATTTTTGTTTCATTTTTGAGACAGGGTTTCACTCTGTTGCTCAGGCTGGAGTGCAGTGGCATGACCATAGCTTACTGAGCCTTGAATTCCTGGACTCAAGCAATTCTCCCGCCTCAGGCTCCCAGAGAGCTGGGACCACAGACATGCACCACACCTGGCTAATTAAAAAAATTTTTTTTGTAGAGACAGGACCTCACTATGCTGCCTAGGCTGGCCTTGAACTCCTGGGCTCCAGTGATCCTCCTGCCTCAGCCTCCCAGAATGCTGGAATGACAGGTGTAAACCACTATGCCTCACTGATTTTAAAAAAATATTATACCAATCCTGTATTCCTGGAATAAATCCCATTTGGCCCATGTTGTATTATCCTTTTAGTATGTTGTTGACTTTTATTTACTGAAATTTTGTTTAGAATGTTTACATGTATATTCATGAAAGATACTGGTCTTTACTTCTCTTGAAATGCCTTTGTTTGTTTTTAGTGTCATAGTAATACTGGTCTTGTAGAACAAATGAGAAGCAATCCCGGCTGGGTGCGGTGGCTCAAGCCTGTAATCCCAGCACTTTGGGAGGCTGAGGTGGGTGGATCACGAGGTCAAGAGATCGAGACCATCCTGGTCATCATGGTGAAACCCCATCTCTACTAAAAATACAAAAAATTAGCTGGGCATAATGGTGCATGCCTGTAATCCCAGCTACTCAGGAGGCTGAGGCAGGAGAATTGCCTGAGCCCAGGAGGTGGAGGTTGCAGTGAGCCGAGATCGCGCCATTGCACTCCAGCCTGGGTAACAAGTTGTTTTTTTTTTTTAATTTATTTATTTTACTTTAGGTGCATACTATATCTGGCATTTCTCCCCATGATAACCCTCCTCACTCTCCCTTCCCTCCCCAACCCCCATTGTCTCTTGGGAGACTTTGAGTTAAGTCACTATTATGCCTTCATTACATGTTTGGTAGACTTCACCAGTGAAGCCAGCTGGATCTGGAGTTATTTTGTGGGAAGGTTTTTAACATCAATTTCATTTCTTTATAGATACAGGGATATTCAGATAATCAACTTCTGGAGTGAGCTTTGGTAATTTTTGTCTTTTAAAGAATTTTTCTATTTCAGCTAAGTTGGCAAATGTATTGGCATAAAGATGTTCATAATATTTTCTTATCTTTTTTATTGTTGTTGTTGGAGAGTCTCACTCTGTAGCCCAGGCTGGAGTGCACTGGTGCAATCTCAGCTCATTGCAACTTCCACCTCTTGAGTTCAAGTGATTCTGCTGCCTCAGCCTCCCAAGTAGCTGAAACTACAGGCACATATCACCATGCCCAGCTAATTTTTGTATTTTTAGTAAAGACGGGGTTTTACCAGGTTGGCCAGGCTGGTCTCCAACTCCTGACCTCAGGTGATCCACCTGCCTCAGCTTCCCAAAGTGGTGGGATTACAGGCATGAGCTACCACGCCTGGCCTCCTTATCTTTACAATAGCTATACAGTTTGTAGTGATCACCACCCTCATTCCTGATACTGGTAGTTTATGTCGTCTTCTTTAGTTCCTGATCAGTCTGGCTACAGGTTTATCAATTGTATTGATCTCCTCAAAGAACTGTAGTTTATTTTGGAAGTCTATTACTATTGTCACATTGAGTCCACTGTGCTAAAATGCTACTATGCCAGAGCAGTATATGGTATATAGAAAGCACTCTATCAGTATTCATTGAATGAGCCAGTGAATGGGAAAAAAAAAGGAACCAATTTCTCCATGTAAAGTCCTTTTATTAGGACTGTTTTAGACATCAGCAATTAGTCTTTAGACATGAGACCAGTCTGTTTTGACATCAGCAATTTCCTTCGTATTTATATTTTTAGTACTACAGTCTTTAGACATGAGACCAATCTGTTTTGACATCAGCAATTTCCTTATCTCTTATTTATGTCTTTAGTACTAATAAGGTAGAACTGAGCAGAACCTTCAGAGGCCAAGTGAAATGAAAGGTTTGAGAAAGTGCCCCAAGAGAAGGCTAAAAGAAGACGAGGCTTGCTACTGGCAATGAGGGCAGGAGGAAATCCTGAGACCATAGAAAACAGACGGAGGCTGGAGACAGAGTGGATCAGAGAAAGACTAATAAAAGTGTAACACAGTAATCGGGATAGTAAAGGTATATGAAAGAGTTTAATAACAACGAATGAAGGTCTTACCCAAGAGTGATGACTACCTCAGTAATTACAGTAAAATTTTCAACTTAATAGCATCAGTGTTTCAAAAAGGTATGTGAGAAATGCTTAGATATTAAAGGAGAAGGGGTACATAAATTAACTTAGGTTAAATTGTGGAAAATAGGATTTCCATTTATATTTAACACTGAAAAGAATATACTGGGCCTATCTACTTCCTGACCTATGTTAAAGGGAAGATTTTATGATTTCTGGTCAAATGAAGGAAGCACAAAAGGGCCATAACATACCTAGGTAGAGAAAAGCAGAAATCTCTTATTGTATTAATCAGGCTAAAAACCAACTTGATTAACCTTGACTTGTAGTCTCAGTACCAGTCAACCACAGTGGCCTTGGGTTTGCATGCCTCCTATGCTGTTTGTGTTTTGGAAGTTTTTTTCCTTTAATGTTCAAACTGCACACATTTAGAAATTTACATAATTTTTTGTCCCCCAGCTGCAGGTATTTCTTTATAGAAGTACATAATTTTATTAATATTCCTATATGTATTCACCTATGAAACCACCAGCAAAATCAAGATAATGAAGACATCCATCACCCCCAAGTTTTCCTCAGGCCCATTTATAATCTTTCCCTTCCATTCCACCCCCTCCACATACCCCACTCCAAGTTTCTAGGGAACCACTGATTTATTTTCTGTTATTATACCTTAGTTTGTATTTTCTATTTTTACATACATGGAATCAGAGTATTTACTTTTCATCTGACTTCTTTCACTCAGCAAATGTATTTTGAGATTCATCTATTTTGTGGCTTATGTTATCAATTCATTCCTTTTTGTTGGTGAGTTATATTCCATCGTATGGTTGTGCAAATTACTTATTTGTTCACTTGTTGGAAATTTGGGTTGTGTCAGATTTTTGCTGTGATTTATAAAGCTGCTATATGTAGACATATGATTTCATTCTTGGGTAAGTATCTAGAAGTGAAATGGCTAGGTCATATGTTTAACTTTTTAAGAAATTGTCAAAAATTTTCCAAAGAGTTAACTCTTCCCTGAATCAATTAAAAAGAAAAACAAAACGTAACATTGTCTAAAGTGGTTGTATAATTTTGTACTCTCACCAGTAGGCTATCAGAGTTCCAGTTACTCCACATCATCCTCACCCTTGGTGGGCAAAGAGAACTTTTGGGATCTGGGATTATTCTTATTGAGATTTATAAATACAGTTACCTATAACTTAACTATCTGTACATGGACAAATCACTTTACCTCTTTGTCAGTTTTTTTATGGAGAGTGAAAGGTTTAGATCCTAAAATTCTGTTTTTATTGTTTTTGTTTCAGTGATATTTAAGAAGTTTCAAATATATTTTTGAGTGGATAATACATTCTTTAGGTTCAAAACATAAAGGACACAAATGACTACAGTGAAAATTCTCCCACCTCTGTTTCCCAGTTATTGTTTCCCCTTCCCAAAGGCAACCAGTGTTCAGTTATCCTTCTACGTATGCATTCTCATTCTTTTTTCAGATACATAGTAATCTATTTTATCAATGTGACACAATTTGTGTAGCTATCCCTGTAGAGATGCATTTTGGTTAATTCTAATTTTTATGAAAAACAGTGCTGCCACTAATAGCCTTGAAAATATATTATTTCACACATGGGTGAGAATACCTATAGGATAAATTCCTAGAAGTGGAATTACTGGATCAAGATATATGTGCATTCTTAATCTCACAAGATACTGCCAAAATATCCCCACAAAGATACTCTAAATTTATACTCTCATCAGTACTGAAAAAGTTTCAGAAAATAACATTAGAAGTTTACATACTCTTTGACCTGGTAGTAATTCCACTCCTATGAATTTATGCTACAAAATGCTGAAAAACAGATGGTTGGTAACCTAGACCTCCAAAAAATAGGAGAGTAGGAATGTGCAGTACCACGGAGTACAAGGTAGTCACTTCAGGTGGAATAATTTTTCATTAATGTCAAAACTGTCCATACTCTATTGACAAGTGGAAAAAAACTGACTTTAAAACCGGTATAGAACTATTCATGCTTTAAAAAGTTAGGATGTTGGCCGGGCGCGGTGGCTCACACCTGTAATCCCAGCACTTTGGGAGGCCAAGGAGGGTGGATCACCAGAAGTTTGAGACCAGCCTGGCCAACATGGTGAAACCCTGTCTTTACTAAAAATACAAAAATTAACTGGGCATGGTGGCGCATGCCTGTAATCCCAACTACATGGGAGGCTGATGCAGAATCACTTGAACTTGGGAGGCGGAGGCTACAGTGAGCCAAGATCACAACTCCAGCCTGGGCAACAAAAGCAAAACTCCATCTCCCCCCCCCAAAAAAAGGATGTTTATATATAATGTTTAATTTTTTTTTTTCAGATGGAGTTTCACTTTTGTTACCCAGACTGGAGTGCAATGGCACAATCTCGGCTCACCGCAACCTCCGCCTTCTGGGTTCAAGCAATTCTCCTGCCTCAGCCTCCCAAGTAGCTGGGACTACAGGCGTGCACCACCATGCGCAGCTAATTTTTGTATTTTTAGTAGAGACGGGGTTTTCACCTTGTTGACCAGGATGGTTTCGATCTCTTGACCTCGTGATCCACCTGCCTTGGCCTCCCAAAGTGCTGGGATTATAGGCGTGAGCCACCGTGCCTGGCCTGTTTAATATTTTTATACACATAGCAAAAGACATGCAAGTGTATGCAACAAAATGTTAACAGTAGTTATTTCTTATTACTTAATAATTTTTAGTTTTAACTCATTTTGATATAACTTTTCTGTAAGTATTATTTATAAGTTTCAGAAGCTATTAAAAATGGCAGATGGTCTATAATGTAAATAAAGGATTTTGTTCAGACAAAAAACTAGTTCAGTAATTAAAGGGATTATTTGGAATATTATGGGGGCAGGGGAATAAAAACCTTGTCTAAATTTGATCCTTCTCAGGCAAGTTTTGGAGTCACCAAATTTTACCTTGTGACAGATTTTGAAAGGAGAAATAAACGGAAAGTGACAAGACAGTAAAAGATAAGTTGGCAATTTCTCCTGCCCCTCAAAATTGCGACTTGCCAGTGTTCTGATTCATAAAGATTCCTCACTCAAGAACTGAGTATTTGTAAGAATGTAACCAGTGTTTCCAGGGAGCAGAAGCTTAAGACAGTACTGACATAATGGAAAAGCTAGACCTGGGAATCAGAAGAAATGGGTTTGAGTCCTAATTTTGACACCTCCTTGAAACTTCTCTTGAGCATTTGGAACCTGTTTTGTCATGTGTCAAAGTAACTGCTTCTTTCATACAGTTGAAATAGTATGGGCTGCGAATGGTGGCTCACGCCTGTAATCCTAGCACTTGGGAGGCCTAGGTGGGTGGATCATGAGGTCAAGAGATTGAGACCATTTTGGCCAACATGGTGAAACCTTGTCTCTACTAAAATATAAAAATTAGCTGGATATGGTGGCGTGTACTTACAGTCCTAGCTACTCGGGAGGCTGAGGCAGAAGAATGGCTTGAACCCAGGAGGTGGAGGTTGCAGTGAGCAGGATTGCACCACTGCACTCCAGCCTGGCGACAGAGCAAGACTCTGTCTCAAAAAAAAAAGAAAAGAAATAGTATGAATGATAAATGGACCGTAATTCACTAATAGAGCACTCTACCAATTATGTTCATCTTATTTTGAAATAGTTCATTGGGTATTTAAAAAAAATTTTAAACACATTTTAACATAGCAAATAGAGAAAATATGATCAATATTCAACTTATCAAATCATAGCATTTGGTCATATTTGCTTTAGCTTCTTTTAGAGGGAGGAATAAATGCCTCTGTATACCCTCCTCATGCCTTTTCCCGTTTTCCAGAGAAAACCACTATCCTGAATTTGGTGTTCTTCATTCCTACTCATGTTCTTTTTTTTTGAGTATTGCTCTTGTTGCCCAGGCTGTAGTGCCACAGCGTGCTCTCAACTCACTTCAACCTCTGCCTCCCAAGTTCAAGCAATTCTCCTGCCTCAGCCTCCCAAGTAGCTGGGATTAAAGACACGTGCCACCATGCCCCGCCAAATTTTGTATTTTTAGTAGAGATGGGGTTTCACCATGTTGGCCAGGCTGGTCTCAAACTCCTGACCTCATGATCCGCCTGCCTCAGCCTCATGTTCTTATATTCATGATGACATATACAAAACCAATATATTGTATTGTTTTGAATATTCAAATTTTGTATAAATATTTTAAGCATGATTTGCCAAGTTGCTTTTTCTACTTGTTTGTTTTTGAAATTTGAGCCATGTTGCTACATTTAGCTATAGTCCATTCATTTTAATCGCTCTATAGTACTTCATTTTGTTCATATGCCACAGCTTATATATCCATTTTCCTGATAATAGGCACTTAAAATCGTGTATATTGCTAGAGGGAATGCAAGATGGTAGTCACACAATCCAGCAATCTTATTTCTAGGTATTTACTCAAGAGAACTGAAAACATTATATTCACACAAAAAGCTATATATGAATATTTATTCTGGATTTATTCACAATTATTAAACGTCTGGTCATAGATAGGTTTAGTGAGATTTAATTTATGTTTCTATTAGAGACCAAGTCTGGATAAGGAAGAAAGAGGAGAACTCCTGAAGGCAGTTACCACTTGGTGGGAAAGGTGCCCCATCTAAAGAACACTCCTAGAAAAATCTAAGTGCATTTAGAACTATCCTGTTAAAAGTTAGCTATCATAGTACATATTGGGCGAATCCTGGAGATAATGACCACATCAAGGAAATAGTTAATTTAAAGAAAACACTGATGGGGGAATCTAAATTGGTAAAGAGGAAGTCAGACTGTTGCTGTTTGCTGATAATATGATTATATTCTGGAAAACCTTAAAAATTCTCTATAAAGCTCCTAGAATTGATAAATGAATTTGGCAAAGTTTCAGGATACAAAACTAATGTACACACATCAGTAGCTCTGCTATACACCAGCAGCAACCAAGCTGAGAATCAGATTAAGAACTCAACCCCTTTTACAATAGCTGCCAAAAAAAAAAATCAAAAAACAAAAAACTTAAGAATACACCTAACCAAGGAGGTGAAAGACCTCTATAAGGAAAACTACACTGCAAAAAGAAATTATAGACAACAAAAATGGAAACACATCCCAAGCTTTTACATGGGTAGAATCAATATTGTAAAAATGACCATACTGCCAAAGCAATATACAAATTCAATGCAATTCCCATCAAAATACTATCATTCTTTACAGAACTAGAAAAAGCCATCCTAAAATTCACGTGGAACCAAAAAGTAGCTGGCATAGTCAAAGCAAGACTAAGCAAAAAGAAAAAATATGGCGGAGGCATCACATTGCCTGATTTCAAACTATACTATAAGGCCATAGTCAACAAAAACAGCATGGTTCTGGTATAAAAACAGGCACCAAGGGAACAGAATAGAGAACCCAGAAATAAAGCCAAACACTTAGAGCCAACTGATCTTCAACAAAGCAAACAAAAGAAGCAGGGATAGGACATCCTGTTCAACGAATGGTGCTGGGATAATTCGCAAGTCACATGTATAAGTATGAAACTGGATCCTCATCTTTTACCTTATGCAAAAATCAACCCGAGGTGATCAAGGACTTAAATCTAAGATGTGAGACCATAAAAACTCTAGAAGATGACACCGGAAAAACCCTTGGCATAGGCAAAGACTTCATGACCAAGAACCCAAAAGCAAATGCAACCAAAACAGACAGATGGAACTTACTAATAATTGAACTAAAAAGCTTCTGCACAGCAAAAGAAACAATCAGCTGAGTTAACACACAACCCAGAGTGGGAGAAAACACCAATTTATACATTCAACAAAGGACTAATATCCAGAATCTATAAGAAAGTCAGACAAATCAGCAAGAAAAAATTCCATTAAAAAGTGGGCAAAGGAGATAAATAGACAGTTCTCAAAAGAAGAATACAGATGTCCAACAAACATGAAAAAATACTCAACATCATTAATGTTCAGGGAAATGCAAATCAAAACCTCAATGTGATACCACCTTACTCCTGCAAGAATAGCCATAATCAACAAATAAAAAAATAGATGTTGGCGAGGATGTGAACAGGGGACACTTTCACACTATTGGTGGAAATGTAAATGTACAACCACTACGGAAAACAGTGTAGAGATTCCTTAAAGAACTAGAAGTAGAACTATTATTTGATCCAGCAATCCCACTACTGCGTATCAGAGGAAAAAAGTCATTACATGAAAAATATACTTGCACATGCACGTTTATAGCAGCACAATGCACAACGGCAAAAATATGCAACCAGCCCAAATGCCTATCAACTAGTGGACAAAGAAACTGTGGTACACACACACACACACACACACACACACACCATGGAATACTACTCAGCCATAAAAAGGAATGAAATAATGGCATTTGCAGCAACTTGGATGGAATTGGAGAATATTAACCTTTTTTTTGAGACATAGTCTTGCTCAAAAATCATCCAGGCTGGAGTGTAGTGGTGTGATCTTGGCTTACTGCAATGTCTGCCTCCTGGGTTCAAGTGATTTTCTCCCCTCAGCCTCCCAGGTAGCTGGGATTACTGGCATGCATCACCACGCCTGGCTAATTTTTATAATTTTAGTAGAGACTGGATTTTACCATTTTGACCAGGCTGGTCTCAAACTCCTGATCTCAGGTGATTGGCCTGCCTCGGCCTCTCACAGTGCTGGGATTACAGATGTGAGCCACTGCACCAAGCCTGGAAACTATTATTCTAAGTGAAGCAACTCAGGAATGGGAAACCAAACATTATATGTTCTCAATCATAAGTGGTAGCTAAGCTATGAGGATGCAAAGGCATAAGAATGATACATTGGACTTTGGGGACTTAGGAGAAGGGGTGGGAGGGGGATGAAGGAAAAAAAGACTATACACTGGGTACAGTGTAACTGCTCAGGTGATGGGTGCACCAAAATCTCAGAAATCACCACTAAACTTATTCATATAACCAAACATCACCTGTTCCCAAAAACTTATTGAAAAAAAAAATCACTGATGGGCTGCCCATGTACATTCATCCCTGGAAACCAAGAGAAACCTGAGCAATTTGTTACCCTCCATCTGGGACCAAAAAAGTTCTTTACAGATAATATGTTTTTCTACTTGTTTGTTTTTGAAATTTGAGCCATTTTGATACATTTAGCTGCAGTCCATTCATTTTAATCACTGTATAGTATTGCATAAGGTCAACTAGTATAGAGTTTACAGATAAAATACAGGACACTCAGTTCAGTGTGAGGTTTTTGTTTTTTCTGAGATGCAGTCTTGCTCTATTGCCTTAGTGGAGTGCAGTTACACAATCTTGGCTAACTGCAACCTCTGCATCCCAGGTTCAAGCAATCCTCCCGCCTTAGCCTCCCAAGTAGCTAGGAATGCATGCACCATCACACCCTGTTAATTTTTATATTTTTTGTAGAGACAAGAGTTTTACCATGTTGGCCAGACTGGTCCTGAATTACTGACCTCAAGTGATCCAGCCACCTCAGCCTCCCAAAATGCTGGGATTACAGGTGTGAGCCACTGCACACAGCTTAAGTATAAGCTTTAATAAACAACCATTTTTACATGGAATGTCCTTATATGAAGAAATTATCTATTATCTGAAATTCACATTTAACTGGGTACCCCGTATTTTTATTTGCTCATTCTGGCAACCCTACACTGATGAGACTCTTGAATCAGATTGTCTTGTTTATGTAATTTAGCCTTTAGAGAAGAAATCCAATTACTTGTACAGAATAATCATTTATTAAATCTACGAGGAAGTTCCTTAAGCTTTTCACAGAACTTTTCAACATGTATTCTACATAGATTACAAAATGAAGATAGCTTCATAATTATGTTAACTACAAATACCAAAATTATAAACACTGCCCTTACCTACTTAATGAGATAACGTAATGGATCTACATGAATAAAAGAAGTTTTTCTGTGCTTACCAATATGGAAAACATCATTTGATTTTGTAATAAGATTTAAATGACTAAAAAATTTATATAAAAACATTAAGCATGCATTGTTACAAATTCCTCATTAGGACAAACTCCATTCTAAGAATCATCCAACCTTCACTAATAATGGATGTCATCACTTATTGTATTCTTCCCTTAATGTGATAAAAATCTTTGTGTAACCACATGAAAGTAATGGGAGAGGGAAAAACAAACAAGGAGAAGGAAAAACAGCTCATCAATTTAGGAATTTTTTTTTTTTTTTTCTTGAGACGGAGTTCCACTCTTGTTACCCAGGCTGGAGTGCAATGGCGCAATCTTGGCTCACCACAAATTCCGCCTCCTAGGTTCAGGCAATTCTCCTGCCTCAGCCTCCTGAGCAGCTGGGATTACAGGCACGCGCCACCATGCCCAGCTAATTTTTGTATTTTTAGTAGAGACGGGGTTTCACCATGTTGACCAGGATGGTCTCGATTTCTTGACCTCGTGATCCACCCGCCTCAGCCTCCCAAAGTGCTGGGATTTAGGAATATTTTTAAATGAGAGTGTTAAACAAGTCTACTTTAACACTTTTCAAATGATATTTTAACATTATTACTTTTTTGAGAAAAGAACCTTGGCTGGCACAATGGCTCACACCTGTAATCCCAGCACTTTGGAAGGCCAAGGCAGGTGGATCACTTGAACCCAGGAATTCAAAGACTAGCCTGGGCATCATGGCAAAATCCCATCCCTACTAAAAATATAAAAAAATTAACCAGGCAGAGTGGTGAATGCCTGTAGTCCCAGCTACTTTGGAGGTTGAGGTGGGCAAATCACCTGAGCCAGGGAAATAGAGTATGTAGTGAGCCATGATTGTGCCCCTGCACTCCAGCCTGGGTGACAGTAGTGAAACCTAAAGACACTATCTCAAAATAACAAAAACAAAGAAAAAACACACTAAACACCTTTTTTAAATGTCTGGCTTTAGGTAGCTCATGCCTGTAATCTCAGCACTTTGGGTGGCCAAGGTGGGTGGATTATTTGAGGTTAAGAGTTCGAGACCAGACTGACCATTCATTTAGTGAAACCCTGTCTCTATTAAAAAACAAAACAAATATCTGGCTTTTTACTTACACTTCTATGACTTAGGAGCACTTAAGAACTGAATCATCTAGTATGGCAGAAACTCACATGCACAAGTAAACATAAGGTAAATTGTCAAGTAAAATAACACAGATTAAAAAGCTATCACAGTATAAAAGAGGGCACTATTCTGGTGGTAGTGAGAAGTCAGCAAAAGCTTCATGGAAAAGTGGCTGTTGAGACAGCTCCGGACAAGTAGGGCTCAGACTAGTAGGCAAACAGGAGCAAAAGGGACAAATGGGCAGGTTCAAGGTTTGAGCAGTATCTGACTGGCCCTGACTGACTTGGATCCTGCATCAGATCTACTCTTGCCCTGGCTCATTACCTGGATCATTTCTACCCATCTCCCCTCCTCCATGTGCTTGGAACACTATACTCTCCATCTCTCTCCTTCTTCCCTAGCCAATTCATAATCTTCACTGGTCTTCAGTTTTACTGTTGCTTTCTCTGCAAAGCCTTCCCAGACCACCCTTGCCCTCAAACTAGTGGGCTCTGTATCACTATCTCAAGGGACACCATAACTTCATATGCCTATTGTGCCTGTACTTAAGAATTACACGAGTTCGAATAAGCACAGACTGTAATAAAAAATAATAATTACATGAGTTAACTGTTTAACATCTACCACATTACTATACCATGATTATACATTCCATGAAGCAAAGGACTTTTTTTCTGTCTTGTTCACTGTTGTGGCTCCTGGGCCTTAAGCTTATGCTTGGCACATAGAAGATACTCAATAAATCAGTAATTAATAAATTATATTAATAGTTTTTATATATGGTTGAATATAGCTTTGAATGCTTTCACAATTTTGATAGCTGTTAAAACACAGGGCTTATAAGAAAGGTGTACAAGCAAATTAATTGGGCAATCCATATAGATTTTCACAATTTAAAGCAATTTCATAGAAGGCATAGTATGTAATAGTCTTTTAATGTGCTAAGTGCACCATCTTTCTTAATGAAAGAGGAAAACTAGAAATTTAACATAAAAAAACAATAAAAGCACATAATGGCCAGCTGGGTACAGTGACTCATGCTTATAATCCTCACACTTTGAAAGACCAAGGCAGAAGGATCGCTTGAGCCCAGGAGTTCAAGACCAGCCTCAGCAACATAGCAAGACCCTGTCTCTACAACAAATTAAAAATTAGCCAGGTGTAGTGGCACATGCCTGTAGTCCCAGCTACTCAGGAGGCAGAGGTGAGAGGATCTTGAGCCCAGGAGGTCGAGGCTGAAGTGAGCCATGTTTACATCACTGCACTCCAGCCTAGGTGACAGAACAAGACCCTGTCTCAAAAATTGAATAAATAAATTTTAAATAAAAGCACGCAATGCAATATTAAAACAGAAACCTCTATAATCTTTTAAATAACTTGATTTTATAGATGGCAATTTCCATTATACCATTAAAGAGTGTCTTTATAATTTTCTTTTTTTTGAGAAAGACTCTCGCTCTGTCACCAAGCTGGAGTGCAGTAGCGCAATCTTGGCTCAATGCAACCTCCACTTCCCGGTTTCAAGTGATTCTCCTGCCTCAGCCTCTCAAGTAGCTAGGACTACAAGTGCATGCCACCGTGCCCGGCTAATTTTTGTATTTTTAGTAGAGACAGGGTTTCACCGTGTTGGCCAGGATGGTTTCCATGTCTTGACTTGCGATCTGCCTGCCTCAGCCTCCCAAAATGCTGCGATTACAGGCATGACCCACCATGCCTGGTGTGTATTTTTACTTTCTTAGTCATATATGAGAGGTATCTATTCAAAGTTTAGCCAAACTCAAAATATGCTCAATATTTGAAATACACATCCAATCAATATTCACTTCATTTCACAATCCTTTCTAACCTCCAGACAAAAGGATTTTAACAGTGTTTATCAATTCAATGAATATACAGTTTTGTTCTCTGTAGCAACATCCCAATACTTCATGACCAAATTTGTATCAATTAGAAGGGACAGTACTCAAACTAATAATTTATTTATTTCACATTTATTGAATTGCTACAGCAGGAAATCATTAAAATATCTAATGTATAAATCTAAAGTTGCCTCTTAAGTCCAACTGGATTTAAATGACACATTTTTTTTTCATTTTTATAATTAGTAGAAATATTTTATTGTAAAGGCTGAAAAGTATACTCAAATACTTGGTTTTGTGAAATCTGATTTTTCAACTGTAAGTTACAAGCACTTAGGAAAAAAGCAATCATTTAAATGAAAACTAAAAATATAAAGCCTATGTTTAAAACATGGCCTTTATTAATACTGCCCGCTGAGCTCCATTTTTATTTTACATTGAAATACTTCTGCTTTGCAAAGAAAAGACAGAAAAGTGCATTTTACAAGAGTACTTTTTTTGTTTTTAATTCTCTGAGAAAATGGAAGGAATCTGAAGCACAAGTTCACAATGTGGTAAAATGAAATTAAGAAACAATGATTTCAGTAATGCTATGCCATCACTAGTGTTTAGCTCTGACTTCATCTTGTAAATCAGATCCTGATATACAGTCTAGAGCATCTAGGTTATTATTCTATAGCATATTAAACACAGAAGAGGAGGTTTAAAAAAAAACCCCTTTCAATGTACAAACATGAATTTAAAAATTGCTTTTAAAAAATCACCTTTTTACATAATGTATATGCAAAACTGCTTTAAATACATGATTTTGGAAGAATTATTTACAAAATGTATCAGTCTGTGGAACAATTCACAGACAAAGCATACATAGTTGCTTTACTTAGTTGTTGCATCTCAACTTTGGGAGATATAAATTCATTCGGCAGTATAGCAAACATAAAAACTGTGACAAAGTATCTTAAGGGCAACCAAAAATTTGATTCTCAAAACAGTTTAAATACTAGGACTGCCAAAGTTTCTAAACAAGGACATACTTTAATGATCCAGATGCCCATTTATAGTTCTATACTGTTTGACAGACTGAGACAGACTCCAACACAGGCAAGGCTGCAGGATGCAACCTCCTGTAAAAAGGACAGCTGAGAGCTATTGTCATCCAAAGAGTGAATTAACCTAGAATTTTCTTTTTTTCAATTTTATTAATATTTTAAAAAATACATAAAAATACAACATCCAATGTCTGAATAAATATATTTAACAAGTTGCAAGATAATACCATATTTTACACAAAATTTTCAGCTTTAGAAATCTTGTTAAATAACTTCATTGTTGTTATATATTTCATTTTTGTCTTTTTGTAACAAAATAAAAACTCTGAAATTACATAGAAAAAAGACAAAATATTTTTGTCAAGGGATAAGATAGTCCACTGAAAACTTATTCACAATTCCACTGTAAACATTAATAAACATTAAAATATTTGCATAATTGTGTGCTCAAAAATCCTATAAAAAGTGGAAGACTTATTACAACTGTAGTTTTCAGTCAACTACACTTCCTTTCACAATTTATTTTGTCCCATTTACACCTTTAATCTTGGGCACACTGCTGAACATATACTTTGGCAGTTCTAAATAGCAAGTGCTTCCACAAAAATAAAAAAAAAAACAACAATAATGGAAAAAAAAAAACCACAACATAAACCCCCTACTCACCAAGTGTTCAAATACATCTTAGTGAAAGTGCAGCAGTAACTATTCAGCCGGGTAATATTTTGATGTTTATCATGTGCACTTGCTTGTCTATGATTTCTATAACACCTGAAAGCTTTATTTTACAAATACAAATTTGCTAAGTGCCCTTTTTTCTATATCACAAGTGAAAAAAAAAAAAGTAAAGAGGAAAATTATGACAAATATGGCAGGCTGCTTAATCTTCACTTATCTGCTTATTTTTTGCAACAAGAAAAAAGAAGAGAGAGGGGAATAGATACAATCCAGCCTGGAAAAGTATACAGGAGATACTTAGCAATGTCAAACCAGTTGAGTGCTTTCTGTGGTTGTAATTCAGGGTTTGGGGATTTATGTCCGTGGCAGCAAACTGCTGGGAAGACAGAGAAAACGTTTATCACCTGCATTCTACAGCAAGTACATTTTGTGGGGGAGATGATGACGAAGGACTCATTCCAGTGTCTGATGAAGCAGATGACATGGAGGCTCCTGCATGAGACACTGTGGAATCAAAACAGCTATGTTAGACCCAAAATCTATTATACAAAGATACCCAGCTAACAGCAAATTAGAAATAAAATTATTAACATTATTCACCTTAATCACAGGCCTCTTATATGTTACAAGAAGGCGTAATAAATTGTCAGCAAAAATTTTGTTTGGCTCAGTTAAGTGGAGTTAGTCTTTGTTCAGTTAAGTAACTCAATAATGAAAAAGACATCACAAAATGTAAAGATTAAAGAGACAAAAACTCTTAAACCTCTTGTTGAGAGATCCCAAGAAGGAACTTCACTTGCCCTAAATCACAAACAAGGTTAACCTGAGATAAATACAGAACCATATGGAATTTCTGCTTTATCTCTGGGTCATAGGACCATAAGATATTTCACTTAACTCAAAGAATTACCTCTGACAGGTATCAGAATCATGGAGATCAGGATGGAAGTAATGATGTGTGATAAGCAAAAGTCCTCAAATGGTTTTAACATAATTTTCTCCAGGAGGACATAACACACATTAGGGATCAGTACTCTGAGCATTAAATGTGTTGCCACTTTTTAAGTTTTTTGCTTTTATCTTCTCTTTCCTTGCAAAACTCTTGTCTTCTTTGCCTTCTTTGTTCCTTTTTTATTTAAAGTTTTAATTTTTGTTTATTCAAGTATCATTACAACCTCTAGGTCTCAAGCAACCCTCCCACCTCAGCCTTCCAAGTAGCTGAGACTATAGGTGCATGCCACTGCACTGAACTAATTTTTTTATTTTTTATAGAGATGGGATTTCGCTATGTTGCCTACGCTGGTCTCAAACTCCTGGGCTCAAGTGATCCTCCCACCGTGCTGGAATTATAAGCATGAGCCACCATGCCCAGCCAATAAATCACTCAAATCTAAATTTAATAACTCATTATAAAAACTTCAGCAAATAAACACGTTAGGCACGGTGGCTCACACCTGTAATCCCAGCACTTTGGGAGGCCAAGGCGGGTGGATTACAAGGTCAGAAGTTCAAGACCAGCCTGGCCAAGACAGTGAAAGCTCATGTCTACTACAAGTATAAAAAAATTAGCCAGGCATGGTGGCAGGCGCCTGTAATCCCAGCTACTCAGGAGGCTGAGGCAGAGAACTGCTTGAACCTAGAGGCAGAGGTTGCAGTGAGCCAAGATCTCGCCACTGCATTCCAGCCTCGGCGACAGCCCAAGACTTATCTCAAAAAAAAAAAAAAAAAAAAGCAAATAAAAACGGGGAAAAGACTATAATAGGTAGGCTGGGCATGGTGGCTCATGCCTACAATTTCAGCACTTTGGGAGGCAAAACCAAGAGGATCACTTTAGACCAGGTGTTTGGGACCAGCCTGAGCCGTATGGCAAGAATGTGTCTCTACAAAAAAAAAAAAACTAAAAAATTAGCTGGTTGTGGTGGCAGGCACATATGGTCCTAGCTACTCGGGAGGCTGAGGTGGAGGGTTGCTTGAGCCCAGGAGTCTAAGGCTGCAGTAAGCCGTGATCATGCCATTGCACTCCAGTCTGGGTGACAGAGCCTGTTTCAAAAAAAAAAGATGGTAATAAAAAAACGTCTTTTTGACTGGGCACAGTGGCTCATGCCTGTAATCCCAACACTTTGGGAGGCTGAGGTGGGTGGACTACTTGAGGTCAGGAGTTGGAGACCAGCCTAGTCAACATGGTGAAACCCCATCTCTACTAAAAATACAAAAATCAGTTGAGTGTGGTGCCAAGTGCCTGTAATCACAGCTACATGGGAGGCTGAGGCAGGAAAATCACTTGAACCTGGGAGGCGGAGGTTGCAGTGAGCCCAGACCACGCCATTGCACCCCAGCCTGGACAACAAGAATGAAACTCCCTCTCAAAAAAAAATTGTCTGAAATATATGTCACCTTTAGGAAACTGACCCCAGAGCAGTGGTGGGTTCTCTGAAGAAATTTTAATTTGCTTATTTGTTCTTTTCTTTTTATGTTCAAAAGTTCTATAAAGACTTCTTGCTATTTACAGTTTGTAAAAGACATGAGAAGTCTGATCTCTTTCCATTTGTTCCACCCTGTTCCTATTTTTAGGAATTAAAAACTGCTGGAGGACTATGGTCAAGACCACAAATGACAGGTCACTCTACCACAAAGTCATCCTCTAAATATTCTACTAGAGGCAAAAAACTCTCAACATAATCAACCCTATCAGGTAATTTACCTTTTATTTGTTTTTAAGAGACATCCCTTCTGGAGCTCTCCCATCCTGTTCTATCCTATTCCTGGAATAGTCACTTCCTAGGCCTGCTATGCAGTGGTCATCTTACAGCTTCCATTTGCCATCACCTTGAGATATTCCTTCACTATTTTCCTATGTAAGATTCCTTGTTTGCTGGATCCCATGTCTTCTTAGCTTGCCTTCTAGTTTCTAGTACACTGAGAAATCTGATCTAAGGCACCTGATGCTGTTCCGAGATACATTTCTTTTTATATGGTAAATTTTTAGAATCTACTCTTTTTTTTTCTTTGAGAGAGAGAGAGTTTCACTATGTCATCCAGGCTGGAGTGAACTAGTGCGATCTCAGCTCACAGCAGCCTCTGCTTCCAGGTTCAAGCGATTCGCAAGCCTCAGCCTTCTGACTAGCTGGAATTAGAGGCATGTGCCACAACGGCCAACTGATTTTTGTATGTTTAGTAGAGAGGGGGCTTTGTCACGTTGGCCAGGCTGGTCTCAAGCCCCTGGCCTCAGGTCATCTGCCTGCCTCCGCCTCCCAAAATGCTGGGATTACAGGTATGAGCTCCTGTAACTGGCCTACTCTTTATCCATAAGATTTTGAAATTTCATATGCTTTGGTGATTTTTCACCCCCATTATTTATAGAGGGCACAGTGAGTCCTTTCAATCTTCTAACTCATATCCTTCAGTTATAGAATTTTAAAAATATTTCTTTGATGACAACTTCCTTTTATGTTTATTCAACTTTCCTTCTAGAAATCCTATGATTCAGAAGTTGGATCTCCTCACCAGATCTCTTATTTCTCTCATTTCTTCTCTCCTATTGTCTTTTTGACCCTCTAGTGGTATTTCTTCAGCTTTGCTATCACTTCCATTAATTTTTTTAAATTCCTGCTATCATATTTTAAAGATATCCTTCTTGTGCTCTCAATTTTTAAAATAGCTATACTTTTGTTTCAAGGTGGCAATATCTTTTCCTCTATCTCTGGATACAAACTGAACATCCCTAATCCAAAACTCCAAAATCCAAAACTTTTGAGCACCAACAGGATGCCACAAGTGGAAAATTCCACACATAAGCACTTACCACAAACTTCGTTTCATGTACAAAATTATTTAAAATATTATATAAAATTACCTTCAGGCTATGTGTATAAAGTATCTATGAAACATAAATGAATTTTGTGTTTAGACTTGGGTACCATCACCAAGCTATTTCATTATGTACAAATATTCCAAAAATCTGAAAAAACAAAAAATCCAAACACTTCTAGACCAAAGCATTTCAAATAAAGGATATGCAACTTGCATTAACTATTAAGCACAGTTTTGTGCTATTTTTTTAAAAATATGGTATATTATCTGTTTTTGCCAGTTCCTTTTTAGTCTCTTTTTTCCACCTTGGCTTCTGTCTTTATGTAGAGGCTTTCCTCAAATGTCTGGTCATGTGGCTTCCATATTTAACATTAAAAGCTGACTGGAAGCTGTGTATGAGCATCAGGTCTTTTCAATATGGACAATGCACATGTAGTGATTTTTGTTTCAGGAACATCCAAATAATACGTCATTTTTCTTCGGCTGGTCATTTTCTCTAGAAGAATCTTCTAATCTCCTCCCAGGAATAAGCATAACCTTGGCTGCCAGCTTTCAGAGAGCCAAGAGGATAGACCTTGGGTTAGGAGAGGGACAGCAGTCTAACTATTCAGTATGCAAACTTTTACTCCATCCATTATTTTGTCCTAGCACTTAATCATTACCCTCAGGCTATGGCTGGTGCCTCTAAGTCTGCAAGCCTACTGATCTCCTCAACCTCTGTTAAGTTAATCTATTTTCTGCTCAAGTTGGTTTGAGGTAGACTTGCTTCACTGATGGGAAGAGGAGATCCAGTATTTCCTTCCATTTTCAACCAATCCCACTTTTTAGCATCATCCCATATCCCTTTTGAGAACTTTTCTGGGGTTACATGGTACGAATTGGCTTGCTTCTTGTTGTTTTGTACCACTAGAAGGGCAAGAAAGTTTAGTTTTAGCATTATCTCATCTGCTAAAGCAGTGAAAGTAGTCCATCTGTTAAGCAGCTTCCAAAACATATACTGTTGACATTTTTTGTCTGCTGTGGTCATTCTCTTGTCCTTTTGAGTTTAGGGCTTTTAATTGCCTTTACTATTATTTTAGCAAGGCTTGCAGATAGATTGTATATGGACATGTTCATGTTTAACTAGAAGTGATCCGACAACCACCAAAGGGCTAGCTCAGACACTACTCCCTCTCTGTGATTACTCCAAACCTCTCCTTCCACTAACTCCTATACTTGTTAATATCATTCTTAGGGTACACACTGTTCAACTAGATGTTAAGATCTTTGAGATGAAAGTCTGTATCTAATACATTTCTGTACTTCTACCTCCTGGCAAAGTGCATGGCACATGGCACATACTCATTAAAGTTGCTGAGCTACACTATCTTATATTTTAGTTGCTTAGGAAATGATTTATAATCTCAAAAAGATAATCTCCTTGAGGATAAGCTTTATGTCTAATTCATTTTGGTTAACCCCATAACAAATATAGTACCTGTTAACAGGTGCCAATAAATGTTTGTTGAGCAAAGAGTGTATTTCAGAAGAAGTAAGCTCTACTTGAGAATCTCCGACATTTAGTACAACCACACATTTTGAAAAACAGTTCGTACTCCCTTTCAAGGGTGTCATTCTGATTAACTCAGTTGCTGACCTACTAAACAACAGAAAAGACTAGGAATTTAAAAACAGCAATTAATGAATGTGTACTATATGCAAAGAGTATCAAATTTACATCTTCTAAAATAATAGGATATAGTTTTGAAATATATGTGGAGAAAAATTGTAATAAAATTACCTTCCCTGTCTTTCTTTTTTAATCTTTTTCTCCTCCTGTCTATGGTTGCAACTTCAGACTTCAAAGACATATAGTATTTTCTGATTTCTTGTAGTTTTTCTTGGAGAAATGAGATTTTCTCTGTACTGTTCATATTATCTAATTCATCTAAAAGGGGGGAAAAAGTTAATTTGGATTTTAAAACAATTCTGTGAGAAAAAAGATAGCAGTGCTATCAAAGGTCTAACTCATAAATTAACAAAAGCTTTAGTTTATTAAAATCTATGAAAGTAAGCTAAATAAGACTGTAAACAGGGAAGACGTGAATTAAATTCATGATTAAGAATTATTTTTAGATTCCAAATTTTCTATACTAAATATTTATAACTTAAATGATCAGAAAAACATAAGAAAACATCAGCACCAAGCAACCCTGACCTAACTATAATTACAGTTATCATAATAGTTTCTCTGTATTGACATTTTCTTTATTACTACTAGTTATACAGTAGAAATAACTACTGGTTATTTCTAATTGTTAGTGCTACAAAGGGCACTTCAGTTTCACTGATTTATATAAATCATACATGTCTTACTTAATGTAGACCTTGCTGTGAATCATTATTTATCAAGTTAGTTTTATGAAAAGACACAGATTTGAACTTAAGATAACACATGGTGATTATTGCTAAGGCAGTATTTGGAATACCTAAATAAATTAATCATTATTCCTTATTTTATTAACATTAATCCAATTTAGCATTTTAAGATATATTCCACTTTACAGCATTTATCTATTAAGTTTTCTATAAGCTTCTTACTGAGTTGAAAGCTCCACTTATACGTCCTAGGGGATGAATTCGGATGTTTTTCTCTGTGTTTATCTTTCTCTCCATCTTTGATGTGTGGGGATATTCTTGCAGGAGATCGTGCAAGTTTCTGTGGCTTAGATACATTAAGATGTTTTACTGGGGTACATTTACTTGAATTGTCTAGGACAGGAAGATCTTCACTATCACTGCTTTGTCCTATAATAATAAAAAATATTGACTCAGATTATAAATGATAAAAATCTTAAATATCGAAGTGCAACAGACCTAGTAATTACATTTCTTGGTATCCTACAAAAATACTGCACAAATACACAAAGTTTATAACAGAAAAAGAAAAAGCCCTAAATGCTCACCAACAGAGAAATGGTTAAAAATTATAAACTACTGAATACCTTCCTAAAGGTTAAAAAGAATGAGCTATAAAATGAGTTTATCATTAAAATGGCAAAATATCTAGTATAATACTGTTAAATGAAAAAGCAAAGTTATAAAACAATATAGTATTGCTCCCTTTACGTTTAAAATAAGCCAAAAAACTGCTAAAAATACTAAAAGCTAGCACTGAAAAACACCAACCTGTTCCATTCTTTTCATTTTTGGCTGCAGCACTTGTTCGCTTTGGGGTACGCTTTTGTTTTTTTGCCATTAATCCACTAGTTCCATCACTTGGCCTTTTCTGACCTGAAATAAAGGGAAAGAGAGAATGTGAAAAAAAAAGAGCAAGTATATTTATTCAACATACTATACTGACATTTCTTTTTTATAAGAAAAGAAGAGAAAAAAGAGAAAGTACTTTACAGATCAACAGTACCTAAAACTCAACTGTTATTTTTGGTTTTAATATAAATACTAACTTTTTCCCTAGAAAGTCCTTACCCTTCTCTCTGCTCTCTCTCTCTTGTACAATTATACTACAGGTACCAGACGCAACGCTGGTTTCAAATCCATTTGCTGATTCCCTCTCACAGAGACCTTCTTGAGATTCTTCAGCAATACTATCAACTTCAATCGTTATGTCACTCTCACTTTTTACGCTTCGAGACTCATCTTGACTAAGAGTAAGTGGTGAAGCTACTGAAAAGTTATGTTGGACTACAGGAGGAAGGGCAGGTGGAATAGAAACAAGAGAGTTAGACTCAGAGCTTTCAACTGCTACATCCTCAATGCTGGTCTTATCCTTTTCATCCAAATCATCCAAATCTACTTCATGGCAAACCAAGGTTTCAGGCCCAATCAGAGGCATTGCATCCTCATCTTCTTTTAGTGGAGTATTTACAGTTTCTTCAGCTGCACTATCAAATCTTTCACTAGTCAGTTGTTGGATGCATTGGTTTGACTCTGCTATCAATGATGGCATTCCCTCATTTTCTCTTTCAAAGTGCTGTTCAAAATTTAAGTTTTTTATTCCCTCAGATCCAATACAATCACTGGTCCTTTCTTGAGATACACTATTTGTCATTTCCATTCCATTCTCCATTCTTATTTTTTTCTCTGGTGATGATTGTCCTAGTATTTTCCGTTTCAACTTCTTTTCCTTCACACATTGGTCAATTTCATCTTCTGTAGCAGAAGTAAAGTTTTTACTGTCTAATGAAGAAAATTCAAGACTATGAACTTCTATATGAGGTTCACTTCCTGCTTCATTCTGGCCAAATGATGTAATCTTTATAATTTCTAAAGGAAGATCTTTTGTCTTGCTTCGTCTTCCCTTTCCTTTTGGAGATTTTTCAGCCTCTTTCTTAACTTCTTCTGCTTGTTCCATTTTGTTTCCAAAAATCTGTACTATTTGTTCATTCTCTCCAACTTCTAACTTCAGGGTTTCTAAAGACTGCATTTGAGTCCTATCATTTTCTTTTAATATATGTGCAGAAATCTTTGGCTTTTCATCATCTAGTTTATCATCATTGAAATTTTCATTTTTTTCTAGTTCATCTTTAAGAGAAAGTTCTTCATTTATTAAATTCTTTTCTAAAGCATCTTCTGTGTCACTATCAGATGAACAAGAGTCTGTAAGAGGAAATATTATTGTATTATACAGGTTTTTATATTACCAGTGTAATTTTATAACAAAAATCTTTAATCATATACCTCTGAATACCTCCCTGCAGAAATTTCTGATACAAAATAAATTATAACATTTGTGCCAAGAATTTGAGGGGGAGGGGAATTAAATTAAGCTCCAAGCAAAAACTTATTACATTGCATATTAGTAACACAAATCTATATAAAAAGTATAATATTTAGGTACAATAGTCCTTAAAAAAAAAAATCAAGGATTAGTACCTAGACATGAAATTAATTTGTTAAGCGGTTTGAGATAGCACATAGGAGGGACATTTGATGGGCATTTTGTATCCTACAATAGGAATATGACATTCTACTTAAAATTATTGTGAAAAGAAGAGTGTTTTTTTTGAGACAAGGCTGATTCTGTCATCCAGGCTGGAGTGCAGTGGTGTGATCTCAGCTCACTGTAAGCTCTGCCTCCTGGGTTCAAGCAATTCTCCTGCCTCAGCCTCCTGAGGAGCTGGAATTACAGGCGTGGGGCACCATGCCCTGCTAATTTTTGTATTTTCAGTAGAGATGGGGTTTTGCCATGCTGGTCAGGCTGGTCTCAAACTCCTGACCTCAAGCGATCCGCCCACCTCAGCCTCCCAAAGTGCTGGGATTATAGGCATGAGACACCATGCCCAGCAAGAAAAGTTTTTAAAATGGGCAACTGGAATCCCCAAAACTTTAAATACTTTTTTTTTTTTTTTTTAAGGTGAAGTCTTGCACTGTCACCTGGGCTGGAGTATAGTGGCACAATCTCGGCTCACTGCAACCTCCGCCTCCTGGGCTCAAGCCATTCTCCTGCCTCAGCCTCCCTCCTGAGTGACAGGGATTACATGCTCGTGCCACCACGCCCAGATTGTTTTCGTATTTTTAGTAAGAGACAGGGTTTCACCATGTTGGCCAGGATGGTCTCAATCTCTTGACCTCATGATCCACCCACCTCGGCCTCCCAAAGTGCTGGGATTACACGCATGAGCCACCGCACCTGGCCAACTTTAAATATTCTTAACAGGCAAAGTAGAGCAACAGAAGTTATTCCCTGTAAGTAAGGGAACTTGCAAAATAATAAAGTAGGTTTCTAAGACTGTATAGGATCGAAAAAATATAAAAATTCTGTCTGCATGGTGCTCATATCCTCAAGAAGTTCAAAACTACAAATATGAATTTTTTTTAAGTGAAAAGGTATATACAGTTTTGTTTTGTGGTTTTATCATAAAGAGAATGTAGAATTCATTTTGCTCATGTTTTAAAAAATCCCTTTAAGTGTTAGTTTAATAAGGCTGGTATGTAGTTTTGTAGCCTGTACACTGCACACAGGTATGCCTTCAAAGGAGTACCTTTCACTTTGTAGACATCTTACATTTGTGTATTATGACAACCTTCCAGCAGATGGCAGTAAAGAGGAAGGAGATCCTTTTATAATATGCACACAAGCACCATATTGACTAGTAGCACACATGTAGTTCAGAATAGCTTTTTTCTTGAAAGGAGAGAAATTTTTATGTAAGACAACCATTTAAAATTTCTTTTTAGGGGACCAAGTGCAGTGGTTCATGCCTGTAATTCCAGCACTTCAGGAGGCTGAGGAGGGTAGATTACTTGAAGTCAAGAGTTCAAGACCAGTTAGCCAACATGGTAAAATCCCGTTGCCACTAAAAATACAAAAATTAGCCAGGCATGGTGGTGTGCACCTTTGGTCCCAGCTACTTGGGAGGCTGAGGTGGGAGATTTGCCTAAATCCAGGAGTGGAGGTTGCATTGAGCCGAGATTGTGTCACTACATTCTAGCCTGGGCAACAGAGTGAGACAGGGTCTCGCTCTGCTACTCAGGCTGGAGTGCAGTGACATGATCACACTTGCTGCAGCCTTGACCTCCAGACTCAAGCAATCCTTACACCTCAGCCTCCTAAGTGGCTGGGACTACAGGTGTGCACCACCATGCCTGGCTAATTTTTCAATTTTTTGGTGAAAATGGGGTCTGTGTTGCCCTGGCTGGTCTTGAACTCCTGTGCTCAAGTGATCCTTCTGCCTCAGGGTCCCAAAGTGCTGATATTACAGGCATGAGCCACTGTGCTTAGCCTAAAATTTCTTAATTATATTTAAAAGTATACAGAGGTAGGAAAGCGGAAGAAATGAGTACAAGCAGAATAAGTATGTTCACCCATATGTATTATAAAACATGCCTGTACCACAGTAGTCTATGTTCTCTTAGAGTAACATGGTCCCAGCTTTGCTGAAAGATCCCAGGTGAACAGCACTAAATTTATAGGAGACACTGATACAGGTTTGAAGGAAAGTATAGCACACACTAGGATATATGATTGTCAATTCACCTTCTATTAAAATAGATTATTTCTAAGATATTTATGAGAAAAAGTATTCCTAAATGAAAACATCACTAAATTTTAAATAAAAATGATACAGCAAAATATTTTCTTTAAATCAAATTTTAGAGTTTAAATCGTATTAGATTAAAAACCTGGGCGATTTACAGGTTGAACATCCCTAGTCCAAAAACCTGAAATCCAAAATGCTCCAAAGTCCAAAATATTTTGGGCACCAATATGACGCCACAAGTAGATTCCACATCTGACCTCATGGACAGGCTGCATCCAAATACAGGTGTACAACAGTTTCTTCAGCACCCCTAAGCTAGTGTACAGGTAACATTTTGATGAAAACACAGCATCTTAGGTGGCGACTGAAAGCCTGCTGTTGTTTGTTGTCACTGTTGTTTAGCAGCAGATACAGGTATTCTGGTGATGCTATTGTGCTGCTAAGTTTCCCCACATACATTATTTTTCCACTGTATTAATTGTAGCCCTATGTTTTACTGTTATGTAATTATGTATAAATAAGTCAAAGAAAATTGCTTATCAGTAGGTGGCACATAAATTCAGAGTCAAGAATAACAGTGATGCTAAATACAGACTGTCCACACAGGTGGCTGAGACAGTTATACCTTTGTTTTCTGATGTTTCAAAGTATACAAACTCTGTTTCAGGAACAAAACTATTAAAAATATTATATAAAATTACTTTCAGGCTATGTGTATAAGGTGTATATGAAACACTAATTTTCATGTTTAGACTTGGGTCCGATCCCCAGGATATCTCATTATGTATATGCAAATATTAAAAAAAAAATAAAAAATGCAAAACACTTCTAGTCCCAAGCATTTTGGGCAAGGGATACTCAACCTGTACCATGAATATGTCACACAATGGATGTTTTATTATTTATATTATTGATTTTTTTTAAGTCAGCGATCCTCAAAATCGAGCACCTTCCATTCCATTTGACAGAGGTGAGCTGTCTGGTATATTGCTGCGAGCACTTCTGGTACCTGATTTTCCTTCACTGTTTGCTGTCTTAGATAAGCCATACGGCATGTTTGATGAAAGGGTTGATTTTAAAGGAGGTCGTCCCCGTTTTGACTTCTGCCTCTCCTCATCCCTCTTTTCGTCCTTTTCACTATCTTCTTTATTCTGGGCAACAACAACAAAATGTATGAGAAGGGCCAATGCTTTATGAAAAATGAACATTCTACTTCTCCAAAGAAAACTACATCTCAAAAAAGGTTTGATTATTTTATATGTCAATTCCTAGTCTGTGCTTACAGAAGAATCAAGAAGAGTTTTCTGGCTGTTCTGATAGGTCATCAGAACTTATTAACATTAGTGTCAATGAAGTTGGTAGACAATCCTCCACTGCTGGATTTGACTAGCTTAAAGAAACAGTTTTCTAACATATTTTCTATTTATATAATATGGTACTGTACAATTTGTAACACTGCAATTATTATATAGTGGTGGTCAGAGTGAGAGCATTAGAAGGCCATACAGCTATTCAGTAGTCCCCAGTGTTCCCTACTATCCCCTGCAGAAAGGAAAGATATCTACTATCCAGTAGACAAAACAATGGGCAAATTTCTACAGCAAAGCTTGACAACTGAGGGTACAACTGGCCAGTAGACATGTGTTTTTAAATTTTAGTACTGGCTTCTAGCATTTTTAAAAGTCAAATTTCACATTTTAAGAAATATAGTGGTTTTGAAAAATCCTGAAATCTGGCCACCCTGGGTCTGCATTCCCACAGCAGAGTGGTTAGGTCCATTCCATCTAAATGAGGAATGTGTCCTCTCCTTTGTCACAATTAGCCCTACTTTACCCTTCTCCTATAAAGCCTCTACAGAAATTTAAGTTTGAAAGCCATCCCCTAGGGACTGCTGGTTTTCACCTTGGCTGAAACAATGTGGTAATGTGTTACTTTTAAGCTCCTGGGTTATAAAGAGAAAATCACAATTACCTTTAAAGAATTAAGATGATTATTACAGTAAGATTTATTAAACAAACATAATATCATATATGCACATTACTAAGCGAAAGAAGCCAATCTGAAAAGGCTATATGGTGTATGATTCCAATTATATGATATTCTGGAAATGGCAAAAACTACAGAGACAGTAGAAAGATTGGTAGTTGTCAGGGGTAGGGGTAAGAATAAGCAGAACATAGAGGATTTTTAGGGCAGTAAAGCTACTCTATATGATATATGATACTATAATGGTGGATCCAAGTCATTATATATTTGTCAAAACCCATACAATATACAACACAAACAGTGAACCCTAATGTAAAACATGGACTCTGGGTGACAATAATGTGTCAAAGTAGGCACATCAGTTGTAACAAATATTCCACTCTGGTGGGGGATGCTGACAATTTGGGAAGACTATGCATGCATGGGGCAGAGAGTATATGGGACGTCTATATACCTTGTTCTCAATCTTGCTATGAACCTAAAACTGTTCTTAAAGTCTTAAAAAACACACAATACAATTTGAGTAATTCCTATACATATTATAAAGGACATAACTCAACAAACATACTTTAGCTTTTTTCTTCTGTTTTTTCTTTGGTCCACCTTTGTCCAAAGGCCAGATTATTCTGTCAGCCTTCACCCACTCATCATACCTTAAAAAAAAATGTACAAACTTCAGAAATGATAACCTATTTGAAATGTATTCACCAAACAAAAACATTACAGTGAGACAGACTAAATAGTTTGTTCCTAGTGTTGGCAGGAATATGAAGGGCACATGGGCTGGTTTGTTGGTAACGTGTGCTAGCTAAGTGTTCTGTATATCCATTGACAAGGAAAGGCAAGAGAATTTCATAAGAGTTAACAGGTTTAGAGGGAGGTCTTGGAAAGCAAACTCTAGGTTTATGACAATCTGAACTGCTTTGTTTTCCATAGCTTTTACAGATCTGAGCTTATTATCAGATTCTACACTAGAATTCATCCTACTGAATGAATGATAGAAAAGCTAAGTCAGACAAATTCAAATTTGCAAGGTTATTCTATTAAGTCCATTTCAACTTTCTTTTCTTCCCCAAAACTCTCTCTAATCTCTAGTATTTCCAATAAAATTTTCTTCTGAACTACATTGCCTTTAGGACTCTGAACTTTTTTAGAGATACTTGTTTTCACCTCTTTTATCTATTTTGTTTAGCTCAAGTTCAAAACTCACTTCCCCTAAACCTTTTCTTAAAATATTTATTTTTATTTTATTTATAATTTTGTTTTTTATATATATTTTTTTTGATACAGAGTTTCACTGTTGTCACTCAGGCTGGCATGCAGTGGTGCCATCTCGGCTCAGTGCAACCTCTGCCTTCCCGGTTCAATTGATTTTCATGCCTCAGCCTCCCAAGTAGCTGAGATTATAGACACCTGCCACCACACCCAGTGAATTTTTATATTTTTAGTAGAGATGGGGTTTCACCATGTTGGCCAGGCTGGTCTTGAACTCCTGACCTCAGGTAATCCACCCTCCTTGGCCTCCCAAAGTGTTGGGATTACAAGCATTAACCACCATACCCCACCATTTTTTTGAGACAGGGTCTCACTCTGTTGCCCATGATGGAGTGCAGTGGCATGATCTCTTGGGCTCAGTTGATCCTCCTACCTCAGCCTCCTGAGTAGCTGAGACCATGAGTGTACACCATTGCACCAAGCTAATTTTTGTACTTTTTTATAGAGACAAAGGTTTTGCCATGTTGCTCGGGCTGGTCTCAAATTCCAGAGCTCAAGTGATCTGCCCACCTCAGCCTCCCAAAGTGCTAGGATTATAGACATGAGCCATTGCACCTGGCCTTCTCAAAAGATTAACATCACTTCTGAATGTCTACAGTCCGAGTTACTAATAAGGGGTCTCTAGAACTAAATAACAGTTCTTACATTATATAAATATACAAGTATTTATAAAATTGAGTCAAAATCTAAAAATATGTATATTTAAGTAAAGAAACAACAGGCATTTCTTGCTTTAGACCAGGAGTGTCTAATCTTTTGGCTTCTCTGGGTCACAATGGAAGAATTGTCTTGGGCCACACGTCAAGTACACTAATGATAGTTGATGAGGTTAAAATAAGCATGCCAAAAAAAAAAATCTCATGTTTTAAGCAACTGTATGAATTTGTGTTGGGCCGCATTCAAAGCCATCCTGGGCTGCATACAGCCTGTTTGGACAAACTGGCTTTAGACTATAGTGTGTTAATAGAAACTCAAGTATCTGGGCCGGGCACAGTGGCTCATGCCTGTAATCCCAGCACTTTGGGAGGCTGAAGCAGGCAGATCACGAGGTCAAAAGATCAAGACCACCCTGGCCAACATGGTAAAACCCCATCTCTACTAAAAAATACAAAAATTAGCTGGGTGTGTTGGCATGTGCCTGCAGTCCCGGCTACTTGGGAGGATGTGGCAGGTGAATCGCTTCAACCTGGGAGGCAGAGATTGCAGTGAGCCCAGATTGCACCACTGCACTCCAGGCTGGAGACATTCTGTCTCGGAAAAAAAAAAAAAGAAAGAAAGAAAAAAAGAATCTCATGTATATGGAAACCACATTCTTGCTTTGTAAACCAGTTACCGTGGAGATGTACAAAGTAAGGACATGGTTCCTGTATGCATGTATTTCAGTTGACATGGTACCATGACTACCTATACAGATGCTTTTTTACTTATGATGCCATTATATCCTGATAAAGTCATTAAAAACTGAACTTACCCCAAGTCGAAAATGCAAATATATCTAGCCTATGAAACATCACAGCTTAACTTCGCCTACCTTAAACATGCTCAGAACACTTATACTAGCCTAGAGTTGAAGAAAATCATCTAACACAAAGCCTATTCTATAATAGTCTTAAATATCTCATGTAATTTATTCAATACACTGTAGAGTACAGTATTGGTTAATTAGTCTCATGATTTCTTGGCTGTTTGCTATGCTTGCTGCCACTGAACAGTCTGACGAGAGAGTATCATACTGTATATCGCTAGCCCAGGGAAAAAAAATCAAAATTCAAAATTCTAAGTATGGCTTCTACTGAATGCATATAGCTTTTGAATCATCTTAATTTAAAAAAAAATTGTTGAACCACTGTAAGTTAGGAACTGCCTGTACTATGATTTGAAACCTATCTCTTACTCATTAACCCAGTATCTAGTTTCTTAAACGGGACTGGCTATGAGCATAGTACTAAGCTTTTAAATATCTGTACTTTATTAACCTATATGAAAATGTTTATTCATTTGAACATTTCCTGAGGACCTACTAGTATACAATGTATCAGGAAGTATGTAAAGAATAAACATGGCCCATGTTCTCAAGTAACCCATAGTCTATTATAAAAGATAGACATAGAGTAACATCAAGTAGAGTCTGGTAAGTGCAGTAAGAGAGTTATGTATCCGATCCAGGACTAACAAAGGAATAAGGCTATCTAATTCCACAATTTCATAGGAAGTATCAGACAACCAGGAAGCATAGGCCTGATTTATAGTGTACTTTTTCTAGGCCACACTGGACAAAGCAGTATGTCATGTAGGTACTTCTAGCACTAATATTGCTAACTCAGGATAGTCCTAGGATTTCTCAATAGAGACCAAGACTCTTTTCACACTTCTTACACTTGCAGATACTCCCATTTCAGAAATCTGACTAATTTCTCTAGGAACCATGGTGGCTCCATCTCAATGAGCAGGCCAGAGTTATATCAGCTTTTAAGAGTAGAGAAGGACAATGAAAAACCATGAACCAGAAGAGTACCAGTTGGGTAACTAATTAGGGAGATGACCAGCCCATAACCTGAGCACATAATAAAATGACTGCTGAGAAGAGTCATAAAGTAAAATGTTAAAAAGATGAGAAAGGCCGGCAGATCCGGAAGTAGATCTCGCGGGCCGACCGGCACGCTCAGACTGATCTTACCTGAAAAAGAAACCCAGAGGAAGAGGAAAGAAAGAAGAGAAAGGAATGGCTGTTTCTCAGAGACTATTTACATTCAAGGATGTGACCACAGAATTCTCTCAAGAGGAGTGGGAGTGCCTGGACCCTGCCCAGAGGGCCTTGTACAGGGACGTGATGTTAGAGAACTACAGGAATCTGCTGTCTCTGGATGAGGATAAAATCCCTCCAGAAAACGATATTTCTGCAGGATTTGCAAGCAAGGGATTATCACCAAAGGAAACTAATAAAGAGGAATTTTACCGTCTGGTAATACTAGAAAGAAAGGAAAGCCATGGCATCAACAGTTTTGACCTCAAGGAAGCCTGGGAACTTATACATAAATGTGACAGCCTGTGGGAATATGATGCAAAAAATCACAAAGGAGTGCCTTTGACCTGTCAAAAACATCTCACTCATAGAAAAGATCAACAACATAATAAATCCTCAATAAATTTCTCTTTAAAGCAGGAAAAAAAAAAAGATGAGAAAGAAAGATAATAGGAGAAAATTCTAGGAAACAGAACAGAGACATAGACAGACATAAAAAAGGAGTGGATAGTTGTGAACTAAGTAAGAATCTGAGGAAAAAAGAAGGCTGTCATATGACGCAACTGGAAATAATGACTGAAAGTTGTTAAGTATAGTCCTTTTTCCCTGAATTCAACAAGACACTGTAAAGAAAACAGTTGGCTGGGCATGCTGGCTCATACCGGTAATCCTAGCCCTTTGGGAGGCAGAGGCAGGTGAATCACCTGAGGTCAGGAGTTTGTGACCACACTGGCCAACATGGTGAAACCCCATCTCTATTAAAAATACAAAAAAATTAGCTGGGCATGATGGCACATGCCTGTAATTCCAGCTACTTTGGAGGCTGAGGCAGCAGATCACTTGAACCTGGGTGGTGGAGGTTGCAATGAGCAGAGATCACGCCACTGTGCTCCAGCCTGAGCACCAAGAGTAAAACTTTGTCTCAAAAAAAAAGAAAAGAAGAAAACAGTTAACATTCATGGAGCACTTAGTAAGTGCCAGGCATGGTTCTAACCATTTACGTGTTAATACAAATATTATCACTCTAGTAGTCCCTGCTTAACCATAGAATAGTTTCAATTACCCATGGTCCAAAAATATTAAGATATTTTGAGAGAGAAAGACCACATTCATATAACTTTTATTAAAATATATTGTTCTAATTGCTCTATTTTATTATTGTTGTTAATCTCTTAATGTGCTTAATTCATAAATTAAACTTTATTGGACGTATGTATGTATAGGAAAAAAAATCACAGGACACATAGAATTCAGTACTATCTGTTAATCTCTTAATGTGCTTAATTCATAAGTTAAACTTTATTGGACGTATGTATGTATAGGAAAAAAATCACAGGACACATAGAATTCAGTACTATCTGAAGTTTCAGGCATCCACTGGGGGTCTTGGAACATATCTCCTGCAGATGAGAGGGAACTACTACATTATACAATATCTCTATAAAATAGGTACTGTATTTTTCCCAGTTTAGAGATGAGGGACTTGAGTCATAACAGAGCACACATCTAGTGTGTGGAGAAACCCAGGAGCAGTCTGGCTCCAGGTAAATACAGGCCAACCAGAGATATTAAACATGCCAGATTTCGTAAAAGAGAAAAAGAAAGGTAGCCCCTGATATTTAGGAATTTGCTTAGCTGGGCTCAGTGGCTCATGCCTGTAATCCCAGCCCTTTGGGAGGCTGAGGCAGGCGGATCATGAGGTCAGGAGTTCGAGACCAGCCTGACCAAATATAGTGAAACCCCGTCTTTTAAAAAAAAAAGGAATTTGCCTGGCACTATCAGCTGAGCCTTGGTGCTGCTTACAGCTGGTCTGGCACTCATAGCTAGGACAGCAACACTGTCCTGCTGTTGGACCTGAACAGTTTCAAAGAGCGTCAACATCAGACAAGTCCATTCTATGACCATGATGGATCAAAACAAAAACAAGACCACTTCCTAATCGTATCTGATCACAGAAAAAACAGGAACACTGTCTAAGCCACAAAAATAACCAAACATCTTTTTTTCTTGACTAATATGAGTGATTGCTGTTTCTTTACCAATTATAAAGTCACCTTGGTCTAACTGTCTCTCCTACTAGATAAGATTTATTAAGAAAACCAATCAGAATTACCCCAGCTTCCTGACAGGATCCAACATAGAGCAAAATCTCTCTCTTTTTTTTTTTTCTGAGATGGAGTTTTGCTCTTGTTATCCAGGCTGGAGTGCAATGGCGTGATCTCGGCTCACAGCAACCTCCGCCTCCTGGGTTCAGGCAATTCTCCTGCCTCAGCCTCCTGAGTAGCTGGGATTACAGGCACACGCCACCATGACCAGCTAATTTTTTGTATTTTTAGTAGAGATGGGGTTTCACCACCACGTTGACCAGGATGGTCTCAATCTCTTGACCTCGTGATCCACCCGCCTTGGCCTCCCAAAGTTCTGGGATTACAGGCATGAGCCCAAAATCTCTTTTTTTTTTCAAGAGGCAGAGTTTTACTTTATTGTCCAGGCTAGAGTATAGTGGCATGATCATAGCTCATTGCAGCCTCCAACTACTGGGCTGAAGTGATCCTCCCACCTCAGCCTTCTGGGTAGCGAGGACTACAAGTACATGCCACCATGCCTGGCTAATTTTTAATTTTTAATTTTTTTTTATAGTTAGAACTACAAAAAAATAGTTCTAACTATGTTGCCAGGGCTGGTCTTAAACTCCTGGCCTCAGGCAATCGTTCCATGTCCACCTCCTAAATGCTGGGATTATAGGCATAAGCCGCCATGCCCTGCCTGTCTTTCTTAAACCCTCCCCCAAATCACCTAATGGAAGATCAAATCTAAGTTCTAACATTTGTTTTTTATTAATTAATCAACTAAGAATTACTACAGTGCTTGATTTCCGATTAATAAAACAACTACTTGCACAGTTGGAAGCTGCAGACCTGGCTCCCTGCTCATATTCAGAAATACGTTTCCAAAGAATTATGAATTATTGTTTTCCCAAAGAGGGTGCATTGAGCTTTTGTTGATTCATCTAACACCGTATTACTGAGGTGCCTTACAGTTTCCCTTGCTGTGTGTTCTCCCTCACTACAAATGAATAGAAAATGTAACTTGTTCTAACTACAGGTGTGATCCTAGTAGTTCCTGGCTAGAAGCACTGACATTGCTAGTGTAAGAGCGGGAATGCAAAGTCTTGGAAAATTCAGAATCAAGGTGTGCTTTGTAAACATATACCATTATTTGCTTTCACTCTTCACAACATTAAGTTGATCTTCTATTTAACCACTGAAAAAATTTCAACAGTAAGAAAATACTTTCTTGCTTACCTGACATTCCATCCATAGTAATGTACCAAATATAAAACTTCTCCATCATCAATTTCAGTGCTTTTAATACTGGCTTCATAAATTTTCTGAGTCTTCCCTCGTCCATATTTTACTTTCACTTTGGTTCCTGTTAAGCAGGGTTCCATGTCTTCCTCATCTTCCTCTCCTTCGGAGTCACATTTGCTTTCAGTTTCTTCCCTGCAGTAAGTTACAATATTGATAATGCTACTAATAACTTAATGGAGAATAAAATATGCTAAAAGAATCCAACAGGTAGATTATTCACAACCTAAGTATTACCTTAATAATACGTCAGTGGAGGAGGAGAAGAAGGAGGAGAAGGAGAAGATTTCTGTGGCCTATTTACTAAAGAATTTATTATGTAAAAGTGCTCTGGACCCAAAGTAAATCCCTACTTTTTAAAAGCCAATCAAGTCACAGCTAATGATAATCTGTAATCAAATAAATCACTTTTGACAAAACAAAATAGGAAAAATATGCTCTGAAAAAATTCTTTAGAGTTTATATGTAAGTGCCACCTTATGTGTAACAAAAGATTTAAGAATATTTTGTAAGTTCCTGCAACTGAATTATCTTAAATCTGCTTTACTACCACATTTAGAATAGTTTTTGGCAAGACTAGTTTTTTTGGTGGGCAAAATAGTGAACAAGCGCTATCTTAGTAACCAAGTCTTTTAAACTAATTTATATTTTAAAGGTTTCCCAGCCCTAACAAAGAAAAGAAATTTGAGTATTAGGACACTTGTTGACACTGCAGGATAGCACCACGAGAACAAAATTACATTTGTTTTGAATTCTATTTGTTTACTGTCTCCCATCAGCTTTTCTTTGTATTGATAATCAGGTATAAGGAACATTAACACAGGGAGGTCCAAAAATACTTTTAATATTTTTTGTAATAAAACATTGTGTATCAATGCTGCAAAGACTCATAAGAGAACTGCATCAAAGATCATTCTAGTGTCACAGCATTACAAGCTCAAGTAGTAGTATTGTGCTCTATAATAAATATAGGACATTATTCTGGTGACCCCGGGGGGTCCTGACACGAAGCTTTAACAGCCCATTTGCAGTGGGAATGTCTTCTCTCGGGGGACACCTTCCAATAATAGACTGATGAAGTAAATTCAAAACACTATGAGAAAAACTACTTAAATATTGTTCTTCATATTCAAGTCTGTTAAATTTTCTCTAAAATAAATGTCTGTTTACATAACAGTTATAGTCTTTTTAAACCACATTTTACGTAGATGTATTATATGTTTTATATGCATTATATACATATTACAATTTTTGTATAATGATGCTTTTCACAAAACTGCAAACTATAATTAGGCCCTACTTTTTAAGTGGTTCACCTTTGCTTAAATTTTTTTATCCAAATATTCAAAATTATACACTCATATCATTATACTCAACTCCAATTATTTCCTCCTACTTTCATTTCATTACCTTCTTTACTCACTAACCTAGTTCACAGGTAATTGTGATAGCTCCTGTACCTATCTGTATTGAATCAAATTACCTCTCCCATTCACCAATCATCCTATTTTTCCAAATATTTATTCCCTCAATGGCCGGTCAGTTTTTCCAAATTTGGCTTAACAACTCAAATTTCTAGAAAATTTAACATCACGTAATAATCGAAAAATAACTATGGAAGAGAGCTGATATTACAAGTAAGTGTGTTATGCTGCTGCTCAGTTAAAATTCATTTTTAGTAGTGTCCTAAAATTAGTAAATCCATTTGACAACACTTACAGAAACAGCTAATACCTTGGTCAGAGACTACCTTGATCTCACTGGACTGCTTAATCTTTGACTATTTTAAGTTGGCAGTTCAGTCCATACTTGTCTAATACATAGAAAAATATATACAGTTTTCACTCAACAGCAAACAGGATGGACATTAAAAAATCTGAAATTTACTGGTGTGATGTGGGGCAAGAATGTATTTTCCAAACTAGAATCAGGGGTGCATGCCACTTACTCTAATACAGTAACTTAAAAAAGAAAAATGTCTTAAAGCTAACACACAGAAACATCTGCTAGTACTGTGCACCCATGTGTTTGTTAGCTTTCCCACATTGTACCTTTTTTAAAATGGAATTTTTGCTGTCGCTGTTTCCTCTTGTCCACTTCCTCCATTTTTCTCCAGCTCCCTTCCCTGCTGTCAACTGCAGGACCTTTCTTTTGACTGGGTGGCGCAGCCTTCTTTGAGGCCACTGTTTAGGGCACAAGTGCTATTAAAATGGTGCGACCAGTATATTCTCCAATTCCGAAAGGCGATACACATCATCTTCACAATGTGTCTCACCTTCACTAGACAAGAGGAATGGAAGTCCCAATAAGAAAACATTCCCTTAAACCTGAATCTCTAAGCAGGAACAAAGCGCTGTTGTACCCCAGACAGGTGCTTCTGGAGAACAAACATAAGATAATGTACCTCTCTTGGCTTTTCTCTTCCTCTTCATCTGAGTCTTTGTCAGAATCCTCCTGTTTTTTAATTTTCTTCTCTTTTTGCTTTGGTGTATTTTTTCTCCCCATTAGTAGGTCATTTTCCTTTTTCTCTGCAGCTTCATAGTCATCATCTACATCCTTATTTTCTGTATCGTTATCTTTTAATTTGTCTTCTGTTTTCTCTTCTTCAATTTCCTTTTTAATAGAATTTACATCTCGAGCAATTCTCCTTCGTCCCTGGTAGAGGGGATAAAAGCTTTAACATAGCTATCACTAATAAAGGGGGAAAAAGCAGGAAAAAATCTTTTCCTTTAACCTTCAGCAATGACTCTGGCTTGAAACATGGCACTGAAAACCAATCAACTCACTTGTACATTTCTCTTCCTTTTGAAAGTAAATTAGGCCAGGTGCAGTGGCTCAAGCCTGCAATCCCAGCACTTTGGGAGGCTAAGGCAGGTGGATCACGAGGTCAAGAGATCGAGACCATCCTGGTCAACATGGTGAAACCCTGTCTCTACTAAAAATACAAAAAATTAGCTGGGCACGGTGGCGTGTGCCTGTAATCCCAGCTATTCAGGAGGCTGAGGCAGAAGAATTGCCTGAACCCAGGAGGCGGAGGTTGTGGTGAGCCGAGATCGCACCATTGCACTCCAGCCTGGGTAACAAGAGCGAAACTCCATCTCAAAAAAAAAAAAAAAAAAAAGAGATCGAGACCATCCTGGTCAACATGTTGAAACCCCATCTCTACTCAAAATACAAAAAATTAGCTGGGCACGGTGGCGCGTGCCTGTAATCCCAGCTACTCAAGAGGCTGAGGCAGGAGAATTGCCTGAACCCAGGAGGCGGAGGTTGCAGTGAGCCGAGATCACGCCATTGCACTCCAGCCTGGGTAACAGAGCGAAACTCCGTCTCAAAAAGAAAGTAAAAGAATAAGCAATATAAATTACTTAATTATGTCCAGGTCTACTTTGGCTACATACTACATAAGATATCTGTAAGAATCTGTTTGAATGCAAAAAGAAAACAAAAACAATAAAAAGGAAATAAAAAATTTCTCCTCTGTTTATATCATTTTATCTCACTTTTATTATTTCTTGACTATAATAAAAATTTAAAAATTATCTAATGTTAATGATACAACACAATAATAATAAAACCAATTCCCTGAATTTTGCTTTTTTAAAACCTCTGTGGTCTCTAATTCTACTGTTTAGTAAGACAAAATTTACATTGTCATTGTATTTGTGGATTACATTTTAAAAGGACTGAATTGCATCAATAGCAGAAAAGTGAGCAGGCTTCTTTGAAAGACTATCTGGAGAGCTCCCTGGGCTAACAGCAACATGTTTTACCCCCACTAGCTTCTACCTAGCCCACTGAATGCTGAAATGACCATAACTGGTTAGCAATTTCATTATCTCCTAGATTCTTCTTCAAGGCAACTTCTACACACTGGCAGAATTCTCCTCTTTGAATAAAGCAGATTAAAAAAAAGCAACTTAGGGAGCATTAGGATACAATTAATATCTCAGTAAACAAATGTTTTTCTTCGTTGCTGGCTATGTGCTATTTACACTTCAAAGGCAGGAAAAGAAATTTCTTTCTGTCACCAAGCACTAGCATGCAAGTTCTATGACAGCACTTCCATCTCCTTAGATCCATACCGCTGTCACATAGCAGGTGCTTTTATTATTATTTTTTTTTTGGAGACAGAGTCTCACTCTGTCACCAGGCTGGAGTACAGTGGCGCAATCTCCACTCACTGCAACCTCCACCTCCCAGGCTCAAGTAATTCTCCTGCCTCAGCCTCCCAAATAGCTGGGACTACAGGTGCAAGCCACCACACCCAGCTAATTTTTGTGTTTTTAGTAGGGATGGGATTTCACCAAGTTGGCCAGGATGGTCTCGATCTCTTGACCTCATGATCCGCCTGCCTCGGCGGCCCAAAGTGCTGGGATTATAGGCGTTAGCCACTGCACCCAGCCTAGCAGGTGCTTTTAAAATATCTGTAGGTAAATGAATGAAAACAACTGCTATGAAATTTGGGTCTGTATAACTTTGTCCCAGAAATACCATTTTTATTTATTTATTCATTTTTTTCAGAGACAGAGTCTTGCTCTATCACCCAGGTTGGAGTGCAGTGGTATGATCTCGGCTCGCTGCCTTCTAGGTTCAAGTGATTCTTTTGCCTCAGCCTCCTGAGTAGCTGGGACTACAGGTGAGAAATGCCATTTTTAGAAGGCTTATTTTTTTTTCTTTTTTTTGAGACGCAGTCTGGCACTGTCACCCAGGCTGGAGTGCAGTGGCATGATCTTGGCTCACTGCAACCTCTGCCTCCTGGGTTCAAGTGATTCTCATGCCTCAGCCTCCCAAGTAGCTGGGATTACAGGTGCCTGCCACCATGCCCAGCTAATTTTTTGTATTTTTAGTTGAGATGGGGTTTCACCATCTTGGCCAGGCTGGTCTCAAACTCCTGACCTCGTGATTTGCCCACTTTAGCCTCCCAAAGTGCTGGGATTACAGCGTGAGCCACCACGCCCAGCCTAGAAGCCTGGTTTATATATGTGCTGAGGATATTTTTACAAGCAAATATATTATAGCACTTTTTAAAATAGTAAAAAATTGGAGAAAAATCTTGGAGAAGCTAGATCTATGGTTCATATATACTAGACAGCACACTGCAGATATTTTATGTAGGACGAGAAAGGTTTTTAGGTAATAACAAGAAAGTATGTCCATAATACATACAATAAAATACTATTCACCTTTAAAAAGGGAGAAAATTCTGATACGTGCTACCACATAACGTCTTGCAAACATTATGCTGAATGAATAAGCTAGTACAAAAGGACAAACACAGTATGATTTCACTTTTATAAAGGTACCTAGAATATCAAATTCATAGATACAGAAAGTAAAATTGTAGTTGCTAGGGGTTGGGGGAGGAATGAGGAGTTACTGTTTGATGGACACAGAATTTCAGTTTTGCAAGGTAAAAATATTCTGGAACTGGACGGTGGTGACAGTTACACACTGGTGTTAATGTACTTAATGCCAATGAAATGTACACTTAAAAAGAGTTAAGGTGGCAAATTTTATGTTATATGTACTTACCACAATTAAAAAAAAAAAAAACCAATTTGGAAATTTCGTATCATTCACTACAAGATTCCATTTACTACATGAAAGAATGAACGGTTTTAAAAATTGCTTTCTGAACAACTATAACAGAAAGCAATTTCATATTCTCTTTCATTAAATATCATTTCACCAAAAATAAGACATATTAATTAACCTTCTTTGATAGTGTGGTACATTCCTTTCTCTTTCTAAAATTTGATAAGCCCTACTATGTAAACATCACTGGACACTGATCCAAATGGTAGATGACAATTCCTAAACAGACCTGACATATTAAAGGAGAGAAGGAGCAGAGTTGGAAGATACAACCAGAGTACATTCACACATCACCAGAACTACACAATATGCTATAAAGTTACAGAAAAGACAAGATACCATCTGGCTCGGGGCACAGGCACTTTAAAGAGGAGATTTATTTATTCAGCATTTATTTAATAAGCCTTTACTATATGCCAGGCAGTATTCTAAATGCCTGGGATCTGTCAATAAATGAAATAAATACTACTCCCTGACCTCGTGGAATGTGATTCTAGTGTAGAGTGAGGCAAAATAGACAATCACAATAAACAGAATAAATAAGTAAATTACAGATAGGCGTAACATTAGAGGGACTGAGAGTTCCAAAGAGAGGAGACAGGTTACAATTTCAGGTAAGGTGACCAATGAGGTAATACTTTAGCAGAAGACTTGAAAAAAGGAATTCATTCCAGATGAGAATTACTTGATCAAACATAAACAGAAAACAGAAGGAAGGGTTTTCAGGTAGAGGAAATAACTGTACAGTATCTTTAGAAAAAAGTAGCTAGGTAAGCAGCATCAAATACTGGAAAATAAACTAAGTTCACTGTAGTGAACCTACTTTTGTGTCTATACTAAAATGGCTATAATAAAAAATTTTAAATAATACTTGAACCAGATAAAGTTAGTATTAAGAACTCACCCTCGGAGACTTTAATTCTATCTCTTCTCTTTCGCTTTCACTGTCTGAATCAATATTTTCCTCAGGTTCACTCTTCACTTCTGTTAAAGGCATTTCTTGATCTAATTTAAGAGCCTCTTCCATTGATTCTTCTAAGTCTTTTTTTTCCTCTTTTACTTTTGGTTCATGGTGATGAATAGTTCTGAATTGAATATTTGCCGAACGGCAGTACTCCTCAAAACCATAGAGATACCTAAACAAACAATATTTCATTTAATAAATCTTATAGTCTTTGCATTTAACTTGAATGTTACTAAATACATTTTTAAAGGTAAAGCCCAAGTAATTTAAAAATAATTTTGTGTTGTTATTTTCTATGTTACTATTTTTTCGGTGTTTTAGATAGAATTATAAACAGAGAAAGTGATCATGAAATAAAATGCCATCCTGCGAAGTCTGAGCTTGTGATAACTGAACATAACTACCCTAAGTTTTGATATGAAGGCTGTTCACCCCAAAAGATATAGCTCTATAACATGTATCATAATCATAGACACTACCTGCATCCTGATTTTGGAAAGGTAATCAGGAGAACAAAAGAAAGGGAGTAAAGCAGATTTGATGCACTGAAGTAACTTTTAGTTACAAGCATCTGTTAACCTAAATCGTCTTATACACTTTCTTTAACTTTTATGTTCCTGGATTAATGTATTCTTGTTAAAAAAGTAAATGGAAAATATTTTTTATAAATACGTATTCTGTGATGAATAAACTATACTACTTACTTTCTATAAGCAGTTTTTACATTGTAGGAAGCAGCTGAATTCAAAATAGGAATGCCAAGGTCCATATAAATTTGCTTCCATACAGCACCACTATCAATCTGGAAAATTAAGTTTTTGTGTTAACATTTGGAAAGAAAAATAATCTTTTTTTTCCTTTTTTTTGAGGTGGAGGGTCTCGCTCTGTCACCTAGGCTGGAGTGCAGTGGCGTAATCAGGATTCACTGCAGCCTCCACCTCCTGGGCTCAAGTGATCCTCCCACCTCAGCTTCCCAAGTAGGTGGGACTACAGGCATGTGGCACCACACCTGGCTAATTTTTGTATTTTTTTGTAGAGATTGGGTTTAGCCATGTTGCCCAGGGTGGTCTCAAACTCCTGAGCTCAAGCAATCCACCCACCTCAGCCTCCCAAAATGCTGGTATTACAGGCATAAGCCACCATGCACGGCCAGGAAATAATCTTTATCCTAATATTCTATGTTCATTAAGAAAATGTATTTATTTTCTAATGTGCATATAATGCCATATAAGATCATTTAACTTTTTATCACATCATATGTATTTCAAAGAACAACTTCATACTTACATTGTCACATCCACCCTGATGATAAACCAGTCTGAAGAGTTTGAAAAGATTGAGATCTTTATAGCCCAAAACAGGTGGTTTGTTGATTGGAGTACCTTTTCAATATAAGTAGGTAGAAACAAAACGTTTATTCAAATGAAAAACACTAATTTGAAAACAAAGCTGTCAAATTCTAATTTCCCAAATTTCATTAATTAGAGGCACATATTTAACCTTAAACAATGTAAGACAATACAAGATATTCTCTCTATTATTTATATAGCTTTGTTGGGATCTTCAGATTTTAGGTGTTATAGTTCTAAAACTAATAAAGCCACCTCTTTAACTGCCAATGAATTGGGTAAAACAATGTTTTACTCAACTGAGTAAAAAACTGATAAACATTGGGACTGCATGGTATGGCCAACAATGTTGCTGGTTCAAGAAGCTTGGGGATAGGGCTGGGTGCAGTGGCTCACACCTGTAATCCCAGTACTTTGGGAGGCCAAGGCAGGAAGATCATTTCAGCTCAGGAGTTTGAGAGTAGCCTGAGCAACATGGCAGTATCCTGTCTCTACAAAAATTAAAAGGAAAAAATTAGCTGAGTGTGGCAGTGTGTGTGCCTGTGGTCCCAGCTACTTGGGAACCTGAGGTGGGAGGATTGCTTGAATCCAGGAAGTGGAGGCTGGAGGGAGCTGTGTTCGTGCCACTGCACTCCAGATGGGGTAACGGACCAATACTCTGTCTCAAAAAAAAAAAAAATGTGGGCATAAACAAACACAATAGAAAAGATAACATTTACACCCTGGTTCCATTTTCACTGCTTTGAACCAATGTTAAGTAATCTGAAGGATGATTTCTGAAGGCAGCACAGAATGTTTAGGACCAATTTATCTTAAGATTTTCTAGGACTAACAAATGCCAAGGAATATGATGGTTTACAATGGTTCTATTATACTACCTATATTAGAAATATTATCCTTTTCAGATAATGGTTGGTCTCCTTTATGTTTAATTTGCTGAGAACAAAGATCAGGCTAGTTTATTCGCCACAAATACATCATGAGTAGTTAGTGGGTATGCAGATTAACATTATGACTGGTCACTTTCAATTTCTGAAATATCAGAACATTTTTTAGCTTTTTAAGTGACAAGGAAAACTAAACTGTATCAAAATACTTTCGTTTCTATGTAAAATAGATATTAATCGTTTAATTCCAAATAGTGTACTATTATCAGGTGTAACTGATTCTAGCCTTTATTTAAAATCCAAAACTAGACAGGCACGATGGTTTACACCTGTAATCTCAGCACTTTGGGAGGCTGAGATGAGAGGCTCACTTGAGGCCAGGAGTTTGAGAACAGCCTGGGCAATATGGCAAAATCCATCTCTACAAAAAATTAGAAAAAAAAAAATTAGCTGGGTATGGTGGCACGTGCCTGTAGTCCCAGCTACTCGAGAAGCTGAGGCAGGAGGATCACTGAAGTCAAGGATCAGGAAGTCAAGGCTACAGTAAGCCAGGATCAAATCACTGCACTCTGGCATGAGCATCAAAGCAAGAACCCATCTCAAAATAAATACATAAACAGTCTGGGCGTGATGGCTCACGCCTATAACCCCAGCACTTTAGGAGGCCGAGGCAGGTGGATCACGAGGTCAAGAGATCGAGACCATTGTGGTCAACATGGTGAAACCGCATCTCTACTGAAAATACAAAAAAAAAATTAGCTGGGCATGGTGGCACATGCCTGTAGTCCCAGCTACTCGGGAGGCTGAGGCAGGAGAACTGCTTGAACCCAGGAGGCAGAGGTTGCGGTGAGCCGAGATCGCGCCATTGCACTCCAGCCTGGGTAACAAGAGTGAAACTCCATCTCAAAAAAATAAATAAATACATAAATAAAATCCAAAACTGTGTATCTGTAATACTAACAAAAGCAATGCATATATTTAGAATGTAAACATGTAAAAGAAATGTCTACTCTAAAATAGTGAGCATGTACCCCGCAACTTAAAGTAAAATAGATAAAAATAAAATAAAATAATGAGCATGAAAATACCTCTGTCTTCCATAAACTTATAAAGCTGCTGGAGGAAGTTGTCCCTCTCTTCAGGATCAAGTTCTTCCTCAGGCTGCAAAGATAAAATATATAAATATATGGCACAGTGAACTGGAAAAGATACATGTCTTCTTTTGTTTTTGTGAGCCATCACAAAGTCATCAAACTTTAATAAAGCTGGAAAATCTGAAATTTCTCAATTATCCCACAATGCCAGATTTTAAGTCATATTTATGAAGATAAACAATGTCTACCCTTCACCCCATTTACCACTTTAACTCTACCTTTGAGTAACACTGTAGGGACTAAGATTAGACAAGTGGAAAAGTTTCAGGAATAAAATGGGAGTGTTAAGATTTCACCTTACTTGGTACTTTTTTTAAGCCTATTAAAATACTATGTGGTTCACACAAATATACTAGTAGATGAGCACAATAATACACACATTCATTATATCATATGTGTATATATAAAGGTAATTTATATATAAACATTATAGTGGCCAAGGATTTTCTTTAGATGGCACAATGTTTTTTTTTTTGAGATGAAGTTTTGCTGTTGTTACCCAGACTGGAGTGCAATGGCACGGTCTTGGCTCACCGCAACCTCCGCCTTCTGGGTTCAAGCAATTCTCCTGCTTCAGCCTCCTGAGTAGCTGGGACTACAGGCGTGTGCCACCATGCCCAGCTAATTTTTGGATTTTTAGTAGAGACGGGGTTTCACCTTGTTGACCAGGATGGTCTCAATCTCTTGACCTCGTGATCCACCCGCCTCGGCCTCCCAAAGTGCTGGGATTATAGGCGTGAGCCACCACGCCTGGCCTGGCACAGTGTTTTAAAGAAATTTAAATGCATTTGAGTGAGTCATACAAATTCTATTTTGCCCTAGACCTCATCACCCCTCATCTCAGTTTCCTCTTTTGCCTTTCTATTATGGTCTCTGAAGTTGACTTTGCAACAACTAAAAATAAGATAAAATACTTCGAGAAGTAATTCTTAGGGAAGAAAATAATTAATTTGGGAAGGAAACTAGATATATAATTACTGATTTAGATCCTTTAAAAATTCTTAAAGTTTAGCAATACTACAGAGAAACAAAACACTGATATGTTTCCTCCATATAAATGACCATAACTTAGAGTATTACTCTCCTGTGTTCTAAAAGAAGAGCTCAGATTTTTGTCTTTTTTTGTCTTTCTTTTTGAGATGGAGTTTTGCTCTTGCTGCCTAGGCTGGTGTGCAATGGCATGACCTTGGCTCACTGCAACCTCTGTCTCCTAGGTTCAAGTGATTCTGCTGCCTCGGCCTCCCAAGTAACTGGGACTACAGGAGTGTGCCACTACGCCCGGCTAATTTTTTTGTATTTTTAATAGAGATAGGGTTTCCCACTTTGGCCAGGCTTGACTCAAACTCCTGACCTCAGGTAATCTGCCTGCCTGGGCCTCCCAACGTGCTGGGATTATAGGTGTGAGCCACAGCATCTGGCCTGGATTTTTGTCCTTACAAAGCCATGTTCAAAGCAAAGGCAATGCTCAAGCAATAAACATTGCATGTTCAGTGTCCAGAGGGCAACAGGCACTTTAAAATTATGTTATCTAATAATAGCTGATAATAGAGCCAGGATCAATAAGCATGTAGTTGATTAAAACATGTAATAAAAAACCATGAGGATATTAAGAGAAAGGGAGTAAGATCTTTTATTACATTATTTTCTTCTTTTCTTTTAGTCCATTCATTCATAATGATTTATAACACTGAAATACTTTTACCAAATATAAAGAAATTTAAATCCAAGTTTTAAAATGTGTCAAAAATCAACAAAAATTTATTACTTAATGCTCAAAATCAAGAGATGGCAGTTTTTTCCCCATGTGAATTTAAAAATACTGCTTTTACAAAGTTAACTGCCAGTGAGTTAACTCAAGAAAATAAGTAATTCAATAGCCCAGGAACCACTTCATATAATAATTTTAAGAACTTCTAGTGTGGGGGAAAAAATCAAAACCAAAACCATTTATGCCAGACTGGCTCTACGCTTTGCCCTTGCCCTAAAAAGAGTAATTATAATATTTTCTCTTTAGATGAAAACTTCATTCCAGTATTTTTATTTTTAAAGACAGAATATTGCTGTTGCCCAGGCTGGAGTGCAATGACACAATCTTGGCTCACTGCAACCTGTCTCCTGAGTTCAAGCAATTCTCCTGCCTCAGGATCCTAAGTAGCTGGGATTACAGGCACCTGCCACCACACCTGGCTAATTTTTGTATTTTTCATAGAGATCAGGTTTTGCCCTGTTGGCCAGGCTGGTCTCAAAACTCCTGACCTCAGGTGATCCACCCAACTCAGCATCCCAAAGTGCTGGCGCCGGGCCTCATTCCAGTATTTATGATCCTACAGAAGTCAGATAACATTTCTGTATTGAATATATGTAAAAGCAATACCTTAAAAGGGTGCTAATTTAAAATCAAAGTTGCTCCCCAATGCAAGTAAACACAATCATCAATTGCAAATTAGGTTGTACTCAACATTTGATAAATTCTTTATGATTAAGAACATATTTTTATATATAAAATTTAACTGTATTTTATTTAAAAGTTAGTTTCATAAGAAACTATGGCCATAAAATTCTAAGTTTTGGTACAGTTAATCAGTATAAAAAGAAGATATAAATGAATAAAGAATTCTACTTACAGACAAATGCCCTGAGGGGAAATTTCTTTTCCACAAAAAATAAACAAATAAAAGATGAGGCTATAAACAAAGTTTTGAACTTATCTGATGTTTCTGTGAAAATTAAAATTGATTATCTCTTACAATAAGCCACCCCTCATAATTATTTTTGAAAACAGCCATGCTGCTAGTTACCTTGGAGTAAAACTGCATATGCTAGAAAATGCCTCCAATTAGAAGAATGTGACTTTATGACTTTTGTATAGGGCTCTCAATTGCTATCACGGTTTGCTTTCTCTGTTCATGGCATTTTCATAGCAATTTATCTCCTGGTCAAGGTCTGGGGCTGTTGCATCTTCTAAGGGTTTTGGAGTGCGAGAAGATTATAAGAATTGGAGGTAGGGGTCCACTAGACCATGCTGAGGAGACTTCTTCCCTTTGTTTAGTCATTACATTTATACATGTAAAGAATAACTATGTACCCAGTAAAATGCCAGAGAGCCAGGAAAGGGGTTAAGGACATAAAAGTCACATTCATGATCATAATTTCAAGAAATGTCCGATTTTAGTCAGTATTAGTATATATTGCTTACTATTATAAGTAGTTGTATTATCTATCTACACAACTAGATTGTGAATTTTCTGACTTTAGGCACGTCTTCAGATTAAGTTCAAACATTTACTGATGGTTATCATAAATCAGAGATTGCTCAAAAGCAATGTGGATTAAAATGAGAACACATGGTACCTTCTATTTTTGCAGCTCTGAGTTTGGCAGGGGGTATAGAAAGGTAAAAGAAGCCAACATAACACAATGTGTTGTAAAACACATAAAAGAATACAAGAGTAGCAAGTGAGGGAATGAATGGTTCTGCTTGAGATGAACTGGCAATGGTAGTATTAGGCAGCTTCAAAATGTAAATAGTAAACATCCCTGGAGCTAAAGGAAACAGCATAAGCCTGAGACTGACAAAGGCAGGCTGGGATTAGGAAAGGACTTTGTAATCGTATGCTAAAGAATTGAAACTTGATACTGTGGCTAGATGTGGTTTGAGACAGCTAAAGAGAATTAGATCAGAAGTGTATGTTTAAATTTTCTCAGCCAAGAATAAGTTTGATGGATTGGAAGGGAAAAGGAAGCTATTATAACAGTCCACCCATGAAGGTAAGAGGGAGGGAGAGAGAGACAGAAAGGCAGAGTGACTGATAGGAGAGGGAAGGAGAGAGAACCACCGCACCTGGCTTACTCATAATTTTACCACTAACGACTGGCATTTAGTTTAGACACTCATGTGAATGAAAATGATAACCTGTGCAAATGAATTGTGTAGAGTTTTCTTGTTTCACATTCGTTGAGTATGAGACCTAAGATTTATGATAATATAAATGCAAGAGGAGTCAGAGAAAGAGAAAATAAGAATAGCTGAGAATGTCCATTCGTTCTTTTTTATTCAGACTGAGTCTCGCTCTGTCATTCAGGCTGGAGTGCAATGGCGCGATAGTGGCTCACTGCAGACTCCACTTCCCAGGTTCAAGCAATTCTCCTGCTTCAGCCTCCCAGGTAGCTGGGATTAGAGGAGTGCACCACCAGGCCCAGCTAATTTTTGTATTTTTAGTAGAGACGGGGTTTCACCATGTCGATTAGGCTGGTCTCAAACTCCTGACCTTGTTACACTGATCTTGGCCTCCCAAAGTGCTGGGATTACAGGCATGAGCCACTGCACCCAGCCAAGTATGTTTCTAAGACACAGGTGGGGCCAGGTGCAGTGGCACACCCCTATAATCCCAGCACTTTGAGAGGCCAAGGCTGAAAGATTACCTTTGAGGTCAGGAGTTCAAGACCAGTCTGCCCAACATGGTGAAACCCTGACTCTACTAAAAATACAAAATTAGCTGGGTATGCTGTTGCGCACCTGTAATCTTAGCTACTCGGGAGGCTGAGGCAGGAGAATCACTTGAACCCAGGAGGCAGAGGTTGCAGTGTACCATTGCACTCCAGCCTGGGCAAAAAGAGTGAGACTGTCTCAAAAAATAGAAAAAGAAAAAAACACAGGTGGTTATGGCCGATGACTTGCTGGCATTCAACATATCCCTTGTCCAAATATATTAATCTGAAAATGAATGATTATACATTTGGAAATGGCACAAATTCTAGTAAATAGACTTCCTACCATTTTGGTGGGATGGGAAACTGATATGGTTTGGCTCTGTGTCCCCACCCAATTCTCATGTTGAATTGTAATCCCTAATACTGGGGGAAGGACCTGGTGGGAGGTGATTGGATCATGGGAGCAGATTTCTCTCTTGCTGTTCTTATGCAAGTGAGGTCTCATGAGATCTGGTTGTTGGAAAGTATATAGCACTTCCCCTTTTGCTCTCTCTCCTATTGCCACAGGAAGATGTG